TCTCTTGAAAAACCTTTGACTGACAGCCCGCAGTATCGAGCGCATTATTACTCCCCGTCTGGCCCTTACTACCGCCGAATACTACGCCTACCAGCTCGAGAAGCACGTCCTCGTTATTCTGACCGATCTGTCGGCCTACTGCGACGCTCTGCGTGAGGTTTCTGCCGCACGTGAAGAAGTCCCGGGTCGTCGTGGTTACCCCGGTTACATGTACACTGATTTGTCCACCATTTACGAGCGAGCCGGTCGTGTGGCTGGTCGCAACGGATCCATCACCCAGGTCCCTATTTTGACCATGCCCAACGAGGATATCACTCACCCCATTCCCGATTTGACGGGCTACATCACGGAGGGCCAGATTTTCGTCGACAGAGGTCTGTACAACCGTGGTATCTACCCGCCCATCAACGTCTTGCCGTCGCTCTCTCGTCTCATGAAGTCTGCCATCGGCGAAGGCATGACCCGCAAGGACCACGGTGATGTTTCCAACCAGCTGTACGCCAAGTACGCCATCGGTCGTGACGCCGCTGCCATGAAGGCTGTCGTCGGTGAGGAGGCTCTGTCTGCCGAGGACAAGCTTTCCCTCGAGTTCCTCGAGAAGTTCGAGCGCCAGTTCATCAACCAGGGCCAGTACGAGTCGCGTAGCATTTTCGAGTCTCTCGACCTCGCGTGGAGCTTGCTCCGTCTCTACCCCAAGGAGTTGCTCAACCGTATTCCCGGAAAGGTCCTCAACGAGTTCTACCAGCGTGCGGCGAAGGAGGCCAAGGACAAGGGCAAGCAGAGGCAGCAGGTGCAGCAGAACGAGGAGAACTTGATTGACGCATAAGCATAAGCGGAAGACGCCGTACGTGCGGTGGCATGATATCCTCGAGGGCCGACAGCGGAGGGATCGTCGGCCTCCTCTTGTGTATACATATGAGGGGCCCGGGAGTGTGGGCGACTTTTGGACCTAGACAGTGGCATGCAATTAGTAGTTCCTATCATGTCGCGGTTCAAGTGCAATGTTTGTCATGTTTTGCTTTGGAATTCAATATAATTAGTTGATCTAAATGGTTTGCCCAAGGTTGTAATCGTTTTCTACGACGGGGATGTCTTTATGCGGCGCATATGTACCGGAAGCTGATCTGCAGCGGGCTTTGATATTGGCTGCGGATTCATATACCGCACGGACCAACTTCGTCAACCAGCCGCACCGCCTCGTCGAACCCCACACCCTCCACACCATGTCCAAGCCAACTCCCCACCATCGGCTGCGGCTACCTTACCTCGACCTTACGCAAGGCACGATTCCCGAGCAAACCCACGACACGCCGACCGCCAATTCCACAGAGCGAGCGACGACAACGGCAGACTTCCGACACAGCTAGTCTTGTAACACGATCACTCTAACCCTGTCACATCACCTACCACAACACACTTCGAAGCTTCGAATCCACCGAGGTCGCCGCCACAATGTCCATCATCCAGCAGCACACGTCTGCTACGCTCAGCGACGCCTGGCGCACCATCAACATCGATGCCCTGCAGGAGGACTCGCCGCACAACTTTGACACCTCCACGCTGCACCCGCCTCAGCCCGAGATCGACGAGTCCGAGGTCCGCGGGCTGGCTGGGCAGGTCAGGCAGCTGTTGAGGGGCGGTGATGCGGAGGGTGCGTTGAGGGGTTGCTTGGAGTTTCCGGTGTACAACGGCGCTGATGCCGCCAAGGTAAGTTTTACTTGAATCTTGAGGGCATGGCATGTTGTTCAAGGTTGCTAAATGATTGCGTGTATTGCAGGATGCCCACCTCCAGACCATCACCGAGGTCCTCCAGTCCATTAAAGCCTCCGAGATGACGCCGCTGCTCAAGTCCATCTACGGATCCCCCGGCGGCCCCGAGCTGCTCGACGTCCTCATGAAGTACATCTACAAGGGCATGGCGGGTTCCGCTGGTGGTTCGTCGGGACTGAGGTCGCCGCCGCCGCAGGCTGCGCCCGGTGGGTTCAGCCAGATTGGCGGACGGCCCGGCGGTACGAACGAGAATGTTGGTAGCGCGATGAGCGTGCTGCTCAGCTGGCACGAGAAGGTTGTCGATGTTGCTGGGCTGGGATCTATCGGTCGTGTCATGACGGATTGGAGACGGGTTTAAGGGGGATGTGGAAGTAGTGTCTGTGTGGAGATAATGACGTTCATGACGAGCGGGCATGGGCCTTTGGTCAAAAGTGGTAGACAGATTGGGCGTGCCGACAATGAAAGCCATAGATTTTGTTCGTTTTTTACGAATTTGTTTTTACATTATTTGTTACAACGAATGTGGGAGTGTCTAGCTGGACTCGAGCACGTCCTTGAGGTTGATCTCTCCGGATCCTCTGGGTAGCGGCTTGGGCTGCTCGCCGCCCTCGTGCCACCCGATCATGTAGATGACTCTAAATGTGGCGGGAATGCTGCCGTCCTCGTTGCCGTGCAGCTCCCTGTAGATGCCCTCGTTCGCCAACAGCACGTCTCTCCTGATGGCACCCATCTCGCGGCCGAGGATGGCGTTGCCCTCGCCCATGGCCTGCAGGTCCTGCATCAGGGAAAAGGTGTCTGGGTAGTCGACGATGATGTCGTCGACGTCGACGGTGAGCATCTTGAAGCCGGCGCGCTGCATGAGACCGCCGACGTCGCGGACATCCGCCAATGGCGAGACGTGGGGGGATATGCCGCCGCGGCGCTCCTGCTCCGCAAGCTGGAGGGAGGTGCGCAGCTCGAAGAGGCTATCGCCGCCGAGCATGGCGCCAATGAAGGGGGAGTCCGGCTTGAGGACGTTGTTGATCTGGGTGAGGACGCCGGGGAGGTCGTTGATCCAGTGGAGGCTGAGGGAGCTGAGGACGAGGTCGAAGGAGGCGGGCTCGAAGGGGACGTGCTCCTCGTCGACGAGGACCTGGCGGGAGATGTTGATGTCGGCGTTGAAGGGGAGGTCGGCGTCGCGGTGGAGGAGGGAGTGGGAGGACTCGGCGGCGACGAGCTCCTCAATGCGGGTGGCGAGGGGCGGGGAGATTGGTTTCGAGGGGTCCGGGTCCGGGTTCTCGCGGGTGAGGGCGCGGGCTATGTTGCAGGAGTTTGCGCCGAGGTCGAGGACGCGGGGGAAGGAGCGTTTGATGTCCTGAGAGTGAGGTTCGTGTTAGTGTGTGTCCATTGGAGCTTTATAGAAGGGAGATTTACGAGTAACCTCTCGCATAGACGTGAGGCGACTTCGTCTTTGAGGTAATCAGCCTGTCTGCTGGCCTCGGGATTTGAGGCTGCGCGCTCCTTCTGCAGCCATTTTGTGCGGCGGTTGAAGACCTGGAAGGTCGGGGCGCCGGCGGCTGTGAAGGCTGACCGGCAGGAGACAGCGGCAGGGCCTCCCCGGAGAAGCCCGGAGACGGCGCCGGTGGGAAGCCGGGGGTTCGGGGCCGCGAGGCACAGGCGTTTGAATGCGTGGTTCATTGGGCGGCGCAATGCATTTCTGGCGGACATGGAGGATGTAGTGTGTAAACGTGTCAGTACCTCAGCTGCGGAGAAGGCAGAGAAGGGTCTGTGGGAGTAAGGAACTGGCAAAAAAAGAAGGTTTTTCTTCTTTTAGATCTGTACGAGGGGAAGCTTGCCGCCGCCGCAACTTTCCAATGGGAATTTTGGGACTTCGATGATGCAGGACGGCAGAGCAGCGTCGTTTAGCGTGTTGAGGGTACGTACCTGGCATGAGCTGCCTGCACCACCTTGGGTCACTACAATGACGGGGTGTGTGATAGGCTGACTGTTTGCAGTGGCACACGCCGAGCAGTCCCCTACGACGACGAGGGCGACGACGGCAGCTCCCCTCCACGTTCCGCCCAGGCCAGGGCAGCTGCACAGGCCGCCCGTCCCGTCCTCGTGCTGCGAAATTGGTTTGGCCTCGGAAAGCAGCACCATCGCCGGGGTGGACAGGTTCAGGTTCAGACCGTTTTAGAGAGCACGCGCCCTACACTGCCCGGCGCTCGGGGGAAGTACCTTGCAACGCCTGACGCGCCCAGTCTTCAAGCAACAAGCAAACTACCTGCATCTCACACGGGGTGCTCTACGCGGCGTGGAAAGCACATGTACGGCACCTGAAGGCTGGCGGCAGCTCTGACATTGACCTTGCAGCGGCTTAGTGCCCGTGAGTTCTTTTGACAGGCGGACCAGATAGACGTACCTACCTAGGTACCTACAGATACAGTTGCTGTTGTTGTCCCGGACTGGACGCTGCCCATCTCCACACAGCCCGAAAGTAGGTAGACGGAACACTAAGTATTCCACTGGACCTCTCTACTGTCCCAAGCCTTGCGGGGCCTCCACTGTCTTGCTCTAAAGTGTCGTTTCCCGCCGCGGGTCCCTCTTCTCACCCACACGCCCCCCCTCGAACCCCTTTCCCTGGTCTTGCTGCTGCTTTTTCGCTCTTTTGGAATTTCATTTTCCCAGTGCAACGTCGGAAGTCGACATAACTGCCTGGCTTCTACAACGAATCGTCAGAAACTCACCAACCCTGCGGTCAAGTCGACAAGAGGAGGCAAAAAAAAAGAAACAGACACCGCGTTCAGTTCTCACATTTCCGCACGCCAACGGGGAAACGCATTGTTAAGCGGCACTTGCCGGCCGGTTTCGAGTTCGATTCGCCCGAGTCCACCATCCAACCGACCGATCAGTTTCCTACCCAAAAAGCCGCCCACTCTGCCACGCGAAAGCTGCTGGGTGCCCGATCAGAACCTCGACGACCTCCTCGCGCGCATGGAGTGATCGTCCCCACGCTCGTCGAAGAGCATCAGCAGCAGCAGCAAACAAAACGTTCCCTCATCGAACCGAAGAGAGAGGAACATCCTCCCCCCGCCCTCCGAGCACCGAGTTCAGACCGCGCTCAAGCCCGCGACGTGGCGACACCGACGACGCCAGTCCGGCTGACGAACTTCCCGACCCATCGGCAAGACGCGAGGAGAGAGAGCAGATAGGATTGGAACTCCCCGACGAACCCGACACCAACCGCAGCCATGTCGTCCGGAGGCAGCGGCTTTCTCGGCCGCTCGACGAGCAACAACTCCAACATGCGAGGCTTGGTGCAGTTCATTGCCGATTTAAGAAACGCAAGAGCGAGGGAATTGGAAGAGAAGCGTATCAACAAGGAGCTGGCCAACATTCGGTGAGTGTGCCCCGCGTCCGGAGATGGCGGTCTCGTGATGGTTTGCTGACAGAGCTGGCTTGCAGTCAAAAGTTCAAGGGTGAGAACCGATTGCGGACGGGCGGCGTGGTGTAGCGGCACTAACGACAGAGCAGATGGAAACCTCAGCGGATACCACAAGAAGAAATACGTGTGCAAGGTACGGACGGCCCTCCGATGTTTGGCAAGGCGTTTGCGCTGACGGACTGCGAAGCTACTCTACATTTACATTCTCGGATGGAACGTCGACTTCGGCCACCTCGAGGCGGTCAACCTCATCTCGGCGAACAAGTACTCGGAGAAGCAGATTGGTTACCTGGCCATGACCCTCTTCCTGCACGAGAAGCACGAGCTGCTGCACTTGGTCGTCAACAGTATACGAAAGGACTTGCTCGATCACAATGAGCTGTTCAACTGCTTGGCTCTCCACGCGATTGCCAACGTTGGTGGCAGGGAAATGGGAGAGGCTCTGAGTGGAGAGGTTCACAGGCTTTTGATCTCGCCGTATGTGCAGCCGTACTACGATGGAGAGCTCTAGCTAACAAGACGCAGGACATCTAAGGCATTCGTCAAGAAGAAGGCCTCGCTGACCCTCCTCCGATTGTACCGCAAGAACCCCGATATCGTCCAGCCGCAATGGGCCGAGCGCATCATCTCTCTGATGGACGACGTGGACATTGGCGTGGCGCTATCAGTCACATCACTCGTCATGACGCTCGCCCAGGACAACCTCAACCAGTACAAGGGCGCATATGCGAAGGCCGCTGCGAGGTTGAAGAGGATACTGATTGACGGAGAGTACACGCCCGATTACCTCTACTACAAGGTTCCGTGCCCGTGGATCCAGGTTAAGCTTCTGCGTTTGCTGCAGTACTTCCCTCCCTCAGGTGAGTTGCTTGGTTTCGAGTCAGGTGTGAGACGTGCTGACTGTAGCAGACGACACACACGTTCGGGACATGATCCGTGAGTCGCTGCAGAAGATCCTGAACCTCGCCATGGAGCAGACCAAGAACGTGCAGCAGAACAACGCCCAAAACGCCGTTCTATTCGAGGCCATCAACTTGATTATTCACCTGGACAATGAGAATGCGCTGCTCAAGCAAATCTCATCTCGCCTCGGTCGCTTCTTGACCTCAAGAGAGACGAACGTTCGCTACTTGGGATTGGAGGCGATGACGCATCTGGCGGCCCGCATCGACACCCTGGAGCCCATCAAGCAGCACCAAGATGTCATCATCGGGTCTCTCAAGGACAGGGATATCAGTGTGCGGAGGAAAGGTCTCGACCTCCTTTACAGCATGTGCGACTCATCAAACGCCCAGGTCATTGTCGGCGAGCTGCTGCACTACCTCCAAAACGCCGACTTCGCGATCCGTGAGGAGATGGTGCTCAAGATTGCCATTCTGACCGAGCGATACGCCACCGATGTTCAGTGGTACGTGGACATCTCACTTCGTCTGATCGCCATGGCTGGCGATCACGTAAGCGATGAGGTGTGGCAGCGTGTCATCCAAATTGTGACGAATAACGAGGAGTTGCAAGTTTACGCGGCCCAGCACTCCCTGCATTACGTTAAATCCGATCACTGCCACGAGACGCTGGTCAAGATCGGGGCATACATCTTGGGAGAGTTTGGTCATCTTATCGCAGACCAGCCCAAGTGCAGCCCAATTGAGCAATTCATGGCTCTCCAAAGCAAGGTTGCCGCTTGCTCGTCAAGTACACGGGCCATGATCCTATCTTGCTACGTCAAATACGTCAACCTGTTCCCCGAAATCAAGCCCCAACTCCTGAAGGCTTTCCAGGTGTTTAGCCACACTCTCGACTCTGAGCTCCAGCAAAGAGCATGTGAGTACTTGACACTAGCGACGATGCCGACAGACGACCTACTCCGGACTGTATGCGACGAGATGCCGCCATTCCCCGAGAGACAATCCGCACTGCTTGCTAGAGTGCATCAGAAGCATGCCAACACCAGTGATAAGAGAACTTGGGTTGTGGGCGGCAAGGATGCCAACGCGGACGTGGCAGAGCTCAAGATGGCCAAGGACGGTGGTCTTAAGCGGACCTTCAGCACCAACGGCAAACCCCCAGCAAACGGCGCCAACGGCACGAATGGTCATGGCAACGGCGCGACCGACTTGGCCGGCATCGACATGTTGAACATCGGTCCTGCAGAGCCGAAGACGAAGACCCCTAACCTGGCGAGTGCAGCTCACTTGTCTCCTAACTGGGAGGTCGGATACAACAAGTTGCTCCTCAAGGGTGAGGGCGTCTTATACGAAGATGGCCAGATCCAGATCGGAGTGCGGTCCGAGTATAGAGGCCAGATGGCTTGTCTCATCCTTTACTTCAAGAACAAGATTCCCACGGCCCTCAGCTCTTTCACGACAACACTGGACCTCGACGAAGCGGAAAAGGGCAAGCTTACGTGGGATGTGAAGAACCTGCCGGAAAGCACAATCTATCAGGCTGGACAATCTCAGCAGGTCATCATGTTTGAGTGCAAGAGAGTATTCGACAAGAGCCCCACGATACGTATCAGCTACCTCGCCGGTGCCTTGCAGGCTGTCACCCTCAAGTTGCCTCTCTCTGCCCACAAGTTTATGGACCCCGCCGATCTTACCGCCGAAGACTTTTTCAAGCGCTGGAAGCAGATTGGCGGTGCGCCCCGTGAGGCTCAGGGCATCTTTGGCCTGTCGCCCGGTAAAGGTGACAGATCGATCAATGAGTTCTTCATCAGACAGACGGTCGAAGGTTTCAGATGGCGCATTCTGGACGGCGTTGACCCCAACGCGAAGAACTTTGTCGGTGCTAGTGTTTTGCATACCTCTGAATCTGGCAAGTTTGGTTGCCTGATGCGCCTGGAGCCGAACTACGGAACTCAGGTTTGTTCCCCTCCGCATTCCCTCTCACCACTGTTACTAACAAAGTGTAGATGATCCGTCTCACCATCCGAGCCACTGACGAGAGCGTCCCCGCAGCTCTGCTGAAGTTGATGCAGGAGCGCCTCGCCGCTGGATACACGCAAGAAAAGTTCCAAGCCCCGACCCCGAGTGAGATCTCGGATGCTTTCAGCAACATCTTGGTCACATAGCGCACGCACTTGCCACCTCGATGTAATACACTCCTCCCCCCGTAATGACATACCCCCTTTTTTGATGTAGTTGCTGTTGAGTCTTTCTTCAAGCCACAAAAACTTCACTTTTTTTTTATACTGGTGTCTTCCATCTTTTTATTTTATCATCACCTGTTTTGCATGGCAAAGCTACTGGGGTGGCGTCGGGTGGCATCTTGGTAGCAGTCGTTCCCTGTAACTTCTTCGTGGATGTGTGGGAGGAGGTATAATGAAAAATTATATATTGGTCTACCCGATTATCTTTCCCGATGGGGAACACACGCCATCTACTCGTTCCCGTCTAAATGTCCCTTTTCAAGACCCGAAAGCTGGTTGGTTTTGTCCGTCAAATCTTCCACCCTCAACACTCCTGAACTATCCGCTTTCTTACTTCCCAACATACCCCACCTGAACCAGCTGCGGTAGCGTCCAAATAATACCCCCTCCCCCTTTGCCTTGAAATAGGGGACCCGGCTTCTCGCGACTGCCTCAGTTCCAGCAGATCAATCACCAACGACTCTTGAAATTGTAAGATGCGGCGGAGCCGGTGGGTGATCAGACTGCACTGCACTCGCGCTCTCCGCAACACCAAATACCTGTACATCGGCGCTTTTGTCGATGGCGGCAGCTCTGGCTTGGTTGGTACGCCCGCTCTCCTGTATGCGATACTTCTAGCGTGATATCACGCCCTCTCCCTGATCACAATGTAACATCGACTCCATACAAAGCCCCGATCTTGGACTCATCTAAGAATGTTATTGTTGACTATTGTTTCCCCTGCAAAAGACGGGTATGCGGGCCAGACTTACGCATGGATCCTACTGTTCTCTACAGGTTGCTCCGCAAAAGGCCGCCTTGTCATCATGATCAAAGCACTAATCTAGCGGCAATACGGCACCATCCAGATGACCGTTTAAATGCGTCGAGCTGAGGACTTCCACGGTGCCGCTAGACATGACTGTGGTTTTGGAAGACCATAGGCCATCTTTCGCGGAAATGAAGGTGCACTCGTCTCGCATCGTCCGCTATATTGAATGGGCCTTGACGAGAACTCTGATCCCGCATTCTTATGGCATGAACATCAGTGCTCGATAATTTGTTGTGATGAACGCCGTTGAGCCAGCACCGGCGGAAGTCACAAATGCTTTTAGTCGCGAACTGATTGGTGGTGACCTGGCCGAATTTTGCTTTTTTTTTGTAAGACCAGAGCGTCTTATGCTTCCTTCGACCACCTCCTCATTATCTCTCTGAAATTGTTCCCAGAGGCCTTCGTCGGCCAGCTGGTTGCTTCCCGCAGTCCCTAACATGAGCCAGGTGAACATCAAAATCAGCGAAGGGCTGGCTACATATGCAGATATACACTCCATCTGGAGCATCCCTTCGTCTACACGAATTACTAAGGTGTCGCAAGTAGTTGCTCTTACGCGTGACCTGATAACTGCATTTGCAGATGTAAGTAGGGTCTGAATCCGATCGATGCACCTCCGCCAAGTGTCGTCTCAACTGTCTTGCGTCGCCAAGTGACCTCAAACACACTGAGCATTGATTCGTGTCCCCTAAACTCGAGTTGATAGCAGACATTGCACTGGTCGCATCCCATCCACTAGAGGAGTGGCCCCATATCGAATCGGCAGACGTCATAGTAGTTGACTCCCGTGCTGATCTTTCGTCCCACATCGATGAACTTGCTGCCGTCGACGAAGCGTTGTCCGAAAGAGGCACTTTTCCGACACCAAAATTCAACCCGGCAGCTGGAGTTGAGTAGTCGAGGTATTTATATTCTGTACGGGGCATAGCAAGTAGTGCTAGCTCCCGCTGATGCTTTCCAACGTGATTGCTGTAGGGTTCGAGCGAAGTCAGAGTCTCCAAGCAGAACGGACACTTGGAATACGCTTCCAGCCATGTGATATGAGCACCCTGACGAATACTCTCGGAAACTTGGCTCCCTACCATTTTGTAGTCGTGTACTCCATTTTCGAGATGCTGTCTGTACTCTGCCGCAGAGTTGAAGTGATCACCACAGCCGTGTGTGCAATGGTAAACGGTCATGTGGTGATGCGACATGTGTTGCATCCACTCCGTTGCCGTCGCAAACTCTTGTTCTGGCCCCATACAGATTTTGGCAACACAATTGTAAGGCCTCAGATCTTCTAATATATGCCGCCTTTGATCGTGAGTCAATCTTCGCATCTAATTCAAGGGACTGCACTTACTCCCACGAGTCCTTGTTGTCAACAACAACCCGTCGCAAGCAATACGGGCACTGGAACAGGCGTTTGTAGAGTTCTGTCGGTATAGATGGAATCTCTAGATCATCCTGCGAGACGTCTAGAGGCTCTGGATCTGATTCGACGCCTTCGTCTCCATAGGTATTGGATAGTGTAGACCACTCCGCGCTCTCGGTCTCGTCCGGACATGGCCGTAAGTAGAACCCCCCAACAAGATTTAAATGACAAGATTGGTTGGTCTTGAGATAATGTCGACGTCTAGACATTGCCCCACCCAGGCGTTCCAATAAGTAGTCATCAATTCCGTCAAACTTTGCCCGCACTACCAAGACGTCGGGTTCTTCAGCGACCTCATTCGCAGTGGAATAAACCACAAAGCGATCAAGAGGTGTCGGCTTCTTTGTCGATATATCAAGCTGAAGAAGACAATCAATCACATCGGTGACTTCTGAGATAGTCCATTCCTGCTCAGCATCATCTCCCTCCATTTCTTTTGCCCCTAACATATCTTGATCGGTGTTTTCTTTCGATTGTGTATTCCCAACTAGGAGGACCGAAACCGCGTGAACCGCCTGACTCAAGTCTTCGAGGAGCCTCAAAACTTATTGCTGTAAACCAGATGCGTCGTGAAGTCGGTATTTCAGGGACCCAAGCCCCGTTCTGTGTGCGCCGTTGTTTCCCACCCACACCTTGAATCGGGTGAAGTCGTTCTGCAATGTCGGAAATTTAGAAAAATAGGCAGAGCTGGTCTCTAGCGATTGAGTCATGCTTTCTAGCACTTCGAAAGTGGTACTGGCAATCGTTTGCTTAATGGTAACGGGCGATGATTGATTATAATGAGGCTTGTAATTTGTAGGCCCGTCGAGATATGTCGAGGTCGGTTGCTGGGGGTTCAGTGAAGAGACACTAGAAGGATTGAAGCCAAACAAATCCCCAGCATCTACCATCTCCACATCGACACCATCCATGTCAACATCGCCGGCCAGACTCCAAGGGGACAGATCCGGGGGGAGGTTGAATTCAAAGACTGACGTCCGGCTATAACCTGGCCCATAGTCGCCTGTAGATTCGGCTGGAACTGCACTGCTGGTCTCGGGCACCTGGCCCGTATCATTTCGTCCATCTTGACGTGAGACGCGAAATGATCATCAAGTCGGTCGTTTTGAGGTTACGCTGGGAGTGTCCCAGGCTGAGGCAGATTTGGGCAGCCAGATCCATGTACCGCTAGTCTCTCCATTTGGGGCCAGGCCCGAGAACCTTTGATCGTGAGGGATTTTTTTCTCTCGCAACAGATTATCAGTATGATTCGTATTGAAATTTCAAGGGCCACATGCGCGCGTGTAGTAACGTGCCCCGCAACAAGTGCGAATCAAGACTCGTCCGGAAGGACTCTGCATGCCTGTCACCTGATCAAGTGGAGTGGCCGATGAGGCTGGCATTGGTTGTTGGCTATCTTGCCATCATCAGCATTACTGACTGCTCAACGCCTCGAGATTTAAGCAAAGCAAACAACAATTATGTCGGGATTTGAAATTGCGGGAATTGTTTTGGGAGCACTTCCCTTCCTCATTGACGCACTGAAGAAAACCAACAGCGGCATCCAAGAATGGCGTTATTACCAATCCACACTAGACCGACTGATTCGCAATCTTTCTACGGAGCAGATAAACATCGAAAACATTTGCATAAGACTGCTGGAGAAGTTGGTTTCGCCAGCAAGAATACCCCTCCTGATTGATAATCGCCCGGACATGATCGCCGCTTGGAGAGACGAGAGCCTGCGCCAGAAGATCGAGTATCTGCTAGACTCGACTTTCGACCTATTCAAGGGTACCTTGGAAGAGATCCAAAAGTCAGCTGATGAGCTCAAGACGAAACTCGGTATTCGGGATGGTCAGGTAAGAGGGGCCTCCCTACCCATCATCTCGAAGCCCAGCACTCATCGTCATCGTAAATTTAGCAATCGCGGCTGACTATCATCGGGCCATTGAGGGATTGAAGCGCGTACATTTCATTGTCAAAAAGACAGAATATTTTGAAATCATCGATAAAATACGCGAGGGCGTAACCAACTTGAATGCATTGCTCAATTTCGCTATCGCTGAGGAGCCAAGAAGAAGGAAGAGATCACAGGGACGATTGGTAAATCTGGTACGCGATGCATCTAACAGCATCTATCGCGCACTCAGATCGAACTTTTCATGTGGCTCGGGCTGCACTCACCAGGTACATCTCGGCCTAGAATCGCGCTCCTCCAGCATTATGGAGATGGGCAATACGAAGTCGCAAAGTCTTTCATTCCAGCTGGCTGTAAACTACAGAGCGATTGACACAGCAACCAAGAAAGAAGACAGCTCAAATGATCAGCTGCTATGGAAAGGACTACTTATGCAGACGCTTCAGTCCAATTTCACATTCGGAACCGTTCCGATACGATGTCAACCAGACAACAACCAAGCAGGCCAGAAGACGGAATCACTAGTCAAAGAAACACAGGAGTACCCTGCCCAAATGAGGTTGTATGGCGGGCAAACCACCACTATAGAGCTTCAGAGTTCCAATCGTGCTTCGACTCGTCCAGCGATCAATCTGTGCAAGGAGATCCGTGCAGGCCCCAAGTCGAAAGACATCGCCTGCTATGGAATCATTGCGGACAGCTTGTCAAAGTCTGCAGAATTCGAAGTCTTTCCGCAAACGGATTTGGATGGGGCAAATTGCTTGACTGTATCACTGCATCAAATTCTTCAAGCGCGGGGCAATGGATTGCCATACATATTCAAGTTGCGCTTGGCGGCTAAAATCTCCTCGAGCTTTTTTCAACTCCACTCGACACCTTGGCTCCCGGGAAACCTGAGCAGCCGGCAGATTCTCTTTATCAAAACGGGCGAGTTTATCAACTTCGAGAAGGCGTTTGTGATGAGGAGCTTTCCTGAGTCAGACTCTGGGTCTACTGGCCCTGCTTCCATGGACCATGGGGCTGCCCTACGGTGCCTCGGGGTAGTTCTTCTTGAGCTCGAATATGAAGAGACCATCGAGAGCCTGCGGCGCACGCACAACACCACACCGCGTTCGATTTATTCTGCTGAGATAGAGGGGATGCTGAGACTGTATGGGGATGCTACGATAGACAGGCTGATTCGGACGAGAAATTGGGTCGGGAACTACGGCAGGGTAGTTAACCTATGTATGAACGGTCACCATGGAACCATCGATCTGAATGATAAGGAGCTCCGGCAAGAGATCTATGAGATTATCGTTCAGCCTTTGGAGGTTGACTGGAACCTTAGCACATTTAGAATTCCTAAATTGAATTCATAGGTGTACATGAAATGAGACAACGCCAAAGTATGACGCCCAGCAAGGACCATGGGAATCTGATGTTTGATTTGAGATGAATTCCCCAACAATCTTGAAAGACATCACATAAGTATCGCACGATGCCAACGAAATCAAGAGCGGTGCCTATTTTGCAAGGCTTATTTGATCATCTACCATGCGACTTATGCGACAGATGAACATGTTGCAGAGACTCGCTGTGTCCAGTTGTTTGCTTGAGCGACGAAAGGCAGCTCATCGTTCAAGATACTGGAACCTCCTATGGTAGTTCTCGCCTTTTTTGCATCCCACACTTGATCTGCCACGTCACAACGGGATACTCAAACAACCACATAACAGATGTGGTCGGCATAAACAAGCATGTGGCGTAAAAATAAATGGAGACAACGTCATGGCCGAATATTTAAGGATGCTTGAAGCCGCAACCGAGCCCTTCTTTTCGGCAGTGGCCGTATATAACCACGTTCCGGCAAAGTGTTTGTGATTGGCGGTCGGCCTTGGCGTTCACGACCCTGGATTCACTCGAGGTGGCCTTGATCTGCGTTTCTATCCCGGCATGTGCCTCGTTCCCCACAGAACGCTTTACATCTTTATCGTCTTTGAGTGTTTCCCCAGAGCGGGATGTCTGCTGTGAAGGCCTCTCTCGAAGACGAATAGGCAAGAGTTGCTCTTTAGTCGTCGAGGGTGAAGGTGTCCAGACAGGGGCACTTGGATTGAGTGCCTGTTCTCCCGTGGATCGCCCCGGGCTGGCGGCCGTTCGAAGACTTCCTTCGTCGAAAGTGAAAGAGAACGTTTGCTGTGGTTCTGAGGTGATAAATTCGCCTCGGTTCCCGGAATGGCCTCTTCAGGCGGTCTCGACCCCTCAGAAGAAGCAGTAACACCACCTTCCAACTTCAATTTTGTGTCCATCTCTTTAGTCAGTGCTTCCATGACGTTGGATATCTGGGAAGCCTCTTCATTCGGCCTCTCGGAAGACGCAACCCCGTCTTCCGGCGTAGCATCGAGACCTGAAAAGCGGTAGGGTTTCCCGGAGTCCGGCCGCTGCGGTACGGGGTCTGATTGAGGCTTCGAATCGCTTTCAGGGACCTCTTCCAACTTCAGTTTCCCATCTTATTGTCTGCTTAGTTCTTCCATGATGACGGATTGTAGCGAACGTGGTAATGATGTGTATGATGCTGGTTCTGCTGAAAACCTTGTTCGAGTCAAACATTGGAGTTGTCTGATAAAGGGGATCCTGGGCCATCTCTTGCCAGGGGCTGCCACTCTCTACCAGCTGGCACGCCAGAATCTCATAATGCTTCTGGTTAAGGTAGTTTATCATGGGCGTCTCCGTAAAACCAGATCATCCACGATTCTTGAAGCTGAAGGCCGCTGTGGAGTTCGAGCATCATGTGGGTATGCAGTGGCCGAGATCTCTGTATCAGGGAACTAGAGAACATTTTCGTTGTTGGGCAGTTATTAGCGATTGGTTCATTCTCTGGGTATTGAGCAACAGACTTGAGCCTCCCCCTGTGTAATGCCCTCCTCTAAAACTTTCTCTTATAAGTTGTACATCTTCTCAGACGCATCCTCTATATTCTCTTCCACTGCGTCTATGGGTGCCGTAAACTCGTTGCTAGGAAAGCCCTCAATGGCCGATCTTGTAATGCTGTGCTCCAACCTATCTTGTTAGTTTCAAGTATCTTGCTTTTCGTTCAAACATCTGCGTCCTAATTTAGCCAGACACTTGAAGTTTGGGAGGAAATCGGTTTCCGTTGGGTCGAGGTCCTATACTTTTGAGTGGTTTCTCGGCGGTACTTGACAGTCCTTCCTCTTGACGAGGGGTTCTGCACACTGGTATATTCTAAATCTTTGCCTCTTTGAGCAGCTGAACCGCGATCCGTTCGTTTACATCACATGCTTCATTTGAATCATTGATATTGGGCCCCGGTATGTGTACTTATTACTGACTAAAAGAAAGGTGGCTTGGCTTGAGGCACGTATTCATCTTCACCATCCTGATTACGACCATCCCGTGAATTACTGCGGGCCCGGACAGGCAACGGTCGTGCTACCCTTCGGCTCGGTGGACTTTCACCACGATCAGAACGGCTTGGCTGGGCGATGATGCTTCCGCTACGACCAGGGCTGCTATCTCGTTTAATTTTGATTTCACCGCCGTCCTGGCACTGGATTTCGGCGCCGCCGATCTTGAGGACTGCACTACCAGTTACTTTGATGGTGAAATCCTCGTCATCGAAAACACTACCTCGCGTTGCCCGCGTCGAGGTGCTCTGTCGGTAATCCCTCTCGGAACGGCCACCATCGCTGGAGAAGCTTGTATGGTATCTCTGAGACCTTTTGAGGGTTTCGGCAGTTAAGGGCTCGACAGAGCCTGCATCATAAGAATCTCGGAATGATTGTGGCTTCTGAAACCTATTTGCGAGGTGAGGTTTGAACTGGGCTGAAGAGTCGAATTTTGGAGCCTCGAAATAGGAAGCTTGTTGTGAATATTGTGCTGGCAAAGGCTCTCTGCCTCGACCTCGTCGCGAAACGTCCTCGCTGAACCTTTTCAATGCGTCTCTCCATATGGGCCCACGCGCTGACTCGACGGGCGCTCGAGGCCTGAAACCCTTTGCATCATTAGCAATTGATGGTGTTCTGTAGGTGGGGGGTCTCGTCATTGTGTGCTGAAAGTGTTGCGGCTGCGGGATTTTCTCCTCTAAAACAGCTTCGTCGACTTCAGCTGCGGAAATACCTGAACGACTCTGTCTTTCTGGCTTCTCTTGGGCTTCTGGAATCTCTTCTGCGTGATTGCTTTCATCGGAAGATTGTTCATTTGTAGCAGCCGTCTGCTCTTCGACGTAAGCAGTAGGTATCCAGGCAGGCCCCGGCTTCTTGTCGTTCATCGCCAATGACCAACCTAAATGAGTTAGTTCCCACCAATTACAACGATGAAATGAGATCCTACCTTTGTCACCCTGATGCAGGATGTCGACAAGATCGTTGCTTTCCACCGTGAGCTCGTTCGGTGTCTTTCCAATGAAATCGTAGAGCACCTTTGCTTTTGTGCGTTTGTCGTCTGCCTCTGTGTCTTCTCCCAATGCCTCTGCTGATGGGACTTGAGAGCTTCCAGCTTTGGTTTCGCTCGTTACAGGCTCCGATTTGAGGGACGCGGAGTCAAGGACATTGTCTGCGTCCGGCGGAGAGGATGCTCGACGCTTGTTACCAGGGCCAGCATCGATGCTGAGAGAATTCAAACGGTCTTCTGTGAATCCCCTTGAAGTACCAATGTCGATGCCAGACGAGTCGTCGCTCGCCCTTCTCAATGTCTCTTGAGCTAGTCTTTTCCCTTTATCACTGTCAAAGGAGTGTTGTCTCTGCAAGCTCGGTATTACAGAGTTGAATTGTTTCTCATCGTTGGTGGGGAAATCACTCTTCTCTCTAAAGTCTTTCCAGGACGGCTCCTCGTACGACGCAGAGGCAGACAAAGACTGGGATGTTGTGATAATCCCCATGGCCGAACTTGGACGGTTCCGCTCCAGAGCTTGACCGTGTTCCTGTGATCGCCGTTCCGATGACACAAAGTAGTCCAAGACATCTGCGCCAAAAGCGGTCGACTTCTTGTCGAAAAGAGACGAAGGACTCATGATTCCAAGCGCTGACTGGTTGGGGGATCTTCGAGCGGCGGGCTTGATCTGCTTCGGCTCGAAATCGTCGATGGCTTGGGCGTCGTGAGAGCTCTCGTACGACGTAACGTTCTCGATATTTTCATCTTCCTCTGCTTCTCTTCCATTCTGTCCCGCTAAGTCACGGACGATATTTGCTTTCTGCAGGCTGGTGTCGATGTCTGTACCGCGTCCCACAGAGTTGAATGCGTGGCCATCCTCGGCGGGAATGTCGCCCGAGAACTCAATGGAGTGAGAAGACTCGACGTCCGAGGAAGTCCTGTATATTGCTGCGTTTTTCTCGGAAGTAGAGAACAGTGCTTCTACATTCTTGCCCGAATCGAATCCCTCCGGAATCTTGGCATGTGGAACTTTGGCTTTTGCCAAGTCATCTTGATACTCCAGTAGATACGTTGCGTAAGTGCGTTTGACAGTATTCTCTTCATCATTGTCTACACCGAGGGATGCACAAACGTCATTCCAAAGGTCGTTCTTCGTCACTGTCGCATACCCACCCTTTTCTTGGACGCATTTGGAAAGGTCGTCTAAGTCGAAAAATCGATCGCTGGCCTTTGCTTTTACAGAACCAAGCTCTGTGATGGGATTCTCGAGTCCGCCAACAATATGGCCGGAGCCAGACCCATGGTGCTTAAAATCGTCTTGTAGCGACGTCTTGTCAAGTGTTTCTCGCTCTAGAACGCGAACGCTCAAACTTGTACCAGATTCGCTTCGTGAAAGACCCTCTTGAGTATCATCGTTATCACAGTCGGCGTGGGGCAAGACAAATAGAGCGAGGTCTTGTTGGTGATTTCCGACATGTCGCCGATATTGATTCAGCGTCTTTAACTTTGCCGGACAGAATGGGCAATTCGTATGAGCATCTTGTGCGAGGGGATGAGAGCTCAACTCCACGATGTCATCGACTTTGCTTTCAGGAACTGCTCCATTGTGGACTCTCAGCAGATGGCCTCTAGACTCCGCTGCAGAGGGAAAGTTGTCTGGACAACCGTATGGACAGCGATACACTCGTAAATGATCTTGCAACATATGTTGCATCCACTCGTTTCGTCCTGAGAACTCTCGATCTGGTGCCGTGCAATGCAGGGCCAGACAGTTGTAAGGTCGAAGGTCGCGAAACACGTGTTTCCTGAGTTTCGTGAGTGAGCCGGGGTAATCCAAGAGATAAACGTACGAGTTGGCTTACTTCCAGGCCCTAGTATCTTGCACAGAAATAATGAGATAGCAAAAGGGACACATGAACGGTCCTTTTAGGGCGTGTTCAGGCATTGGTGGAACTTTCAGTGTCTTTGGGCCTGAGACAGACGTGGCGAAAGACGTCGCTGAGGCTCTTCCATCTGATTGAGTATCGTCTCCTGAAAATTCGACGAGAGCCCCTTGCTTCATCTGGAGAGGTATGGATGAAGCAAGGGTGCTTGGAGCGGGAAGTGTTGGCTCCGTTTTGTTTGTGTCCCCGTGGCGGTCCAAACCGTGTGAAAGCTTCTGATGATGGGCCTCCCTGTACTTGAAGTACTGGCGCCTTCGAGACATGGCTTTGCCCAGACGCTGTGCAAGGCCTTCGTCAATGTCTTGGAACTTGGCTTGAACGTGTTGAATATCGAAGTCTTCATACGCGGATGCGTCTGTAAAAGTGGAAGACATGAAGCGATCATGAGGTGCCGGGTTCTGGATAGAGACGCTGAGACGGAGGAGGCAGTCGACTAGCTCTGTAATATCCAGCGTAATTTGCTCCATTTCTGTCTCCATCTCAAGATCATCCAGGGGCTCTTCGTCGTCTTCCATCTCCTCCCACGGAGTTGCTTTTCCGTTCATGATGTCTGCTGCGTCTTCGAGAGAATCCTTGAGGCCACTCAGGAGCCTGAGGACCTGTTGTCGAACATGAGACGCTTCGCGAAGGCGGTGCTCGAGAGAAGCTCGCCCATTTCGATGCGCGCCGCTATTTCCGGCCCAGACTTTGAATCGAGCCAGCTCATCGTCGATCTTCGGAGGGAGTGATGTTCGAAGCGAGGCGTCGTCGGACTCTTGTATACTTTTGGAAAGGCGATTGAAGCCGGTAAGCACCCCAACGACCACGTCCTTGATACCTTCGTTCATCTTCGGGTGATTTTAGACATGGCCTGCTCTTCAGATCGTCAAATGATTCTGGAACCGACCTAAGTGCCCTCGGTCGACTGGCCGAGCCGAAGCTACAAGTCAGCGGCAGTATTTAATGACCCGGACTAGTCTCTGAAATGAAGAGGTCCAAATTATTGAAAACAAAGCAACATGAACAGAGGGGACTCTTGGAGGCAACACTGAGTGAAATTATGTATCACGTTAGTGGGGGTTACTTGCGAACATTGATAACCCCCGCAGGATGAACGAATCAAGAGCCGTCAGCATGCAGGGGACTGGATCAGGCTGCCGCTTACTGTTGAACCAACTTTTCAGCTGAGGGGTCAATACTCCGCCGTAGCGAGACTAACGTCGTCTGAATTACCTCAGGACGTCCAAATTTGACGCGCCCGCGATGTCCGGCTTCGAGGTGGCAGGCGTCGTCTTGGGAACCATTCCCTTGGTCATCTCGGCACTTGAACACTACAAGCAGGGCATCTCGACGATCCGCACTTGGCGCAACTATAACAGAGAGCTTCGCATCCTGATCCTGAGTCTAGAAACCGAGCGGGTTAGATTTCAGGACGTTTGCGAAAAGCTTCTTGTTGGGCTGGTTTCGCCCTGTCAGATTGAATCCATGATCGAGGATCCATTTGGTCCAGCATGGCAGGAAGACGTAATCCAAGCCAAAATCAAGGCTAGGCTGTGGAGGTCCTTCAGCATTTTTGAGGACATCGTCACAGACATGGAAGAAGCGACCAAGGAAATGATGAAAAAGCTCGACCTTCAACCGGATGGCAAGGTAAGTACCTTGTCAATGGGAGACTCTGGTTTCTAACTCGTCTCGTAGATCAAATGGCAAGAGGCCACTTTTGTCATAAGAGAGTTCAAGCGCGCCTCATTCGTTCTGAAGAGATCAGACCATGCAGAGCAGATGACGACGATCAAGGATGGAATCACAAGCTTGGAGTCATTGATTGATCGCAACATCAAGATGGAACCAGAGAGAAAACTAAGATCTCAAGGTCGACTCATGAGACTTGTCCGGGAGTTATCGGCCAGCGTATACCGTGCATTACGGTCGAGCTTTCAATGCAGCTGCGCCCACGAGGTTCATCTTGGTCTGGTTTCACGTTCAGTCGAGCTCGCGCAGAAGGATGAAGATGAGGATGTCATTCAGAAACTCGCTTTTCAATTGGCTTTGACTTACGACAAGATCGAAAAAACGGCAAACGACGAGAAGGAACCTTGTGAACGGGTGGCGTGGGAGGAAGTCCGCGTTCAGGCGCTTCCAAAGGCGACAGCTCAGACTTTAACATCCGTCGGGAGGACTTCGAAGACAAAGATGCCTGGTATGGGAAAGAGCAAGAGCGTCAGCTTCACCATGTCTCACTCAGCAACTGCCACTACAACTTGCATTGGGCAGACTTCGACTATGGTTGTCCAGCAGTCCTTCTCGTCTCTGAGTATCAGCTCTTCAAATTTGGGGTTGCATGATCACATTAATCTCTGCGAACGCATTCGTCGGAGTCAGAAACAGCTCGCTTTCGATTGCTATGGGATGATCAGAGATCGCAGTGGTCAGATGTGCCGAGACTTTGGCGTCTACCCAACATTTGGCTCAGATCGCGAGCAGTGGTCAGTAATCTCACTGACAGAGGTCCTAGAGAGACCGCTGGAGTTCCCACATATGTCGGTGTCAGCGAAGCTACATCTGGCAGCTATGATAGCTTCCAGCTTTCTTCAACTACACCAAACGCCATGGCTTCCAGAAATCCTGACAAGCCGCGATATTTTGTTCTTCAAGAGAGGGGAGGAGCTTCAGTACGAGCACGCCTTCGTCATGAAAGGCCTACAAGAAAGGCTAGAAGACAAACAGAAGGGGAACAACTCGGCACCCAGCAGTCGCTGCCCCGCTCTGCTCGCTCTCGGGATCTTGCTGCTGGAGCTGAACCTGGGACGCACGATTGAGTCGCTTCGAATCCAGTATGAGACACCTCCGCCTGGGGCTCCCAGGTTAATGTACGACTCCATGACGGCGCAGAGGCTGCTGCAGGAGAGGCAGATGGACAGCCTGAATTACAAGAGTGCCGTGCAACGGTGCATTGGGGGAGAATTTGCGCGGCCGAAGCTCGACTTGAATGATGAGGACTTTCGGCAAGAGATATACGAAAAGGTTGTGGCATTGTTGGAGACGGATTTGAAGAACGCGACGTGGTCTTACGATGTGGGCATTTAATAGGCGTTGTCATAAGGCGTTGATATAGCATGACATTGGTTTGTGTTGACCGTATTTGGAAAATAATAACCTTCAACTATATGAGTCGTGAATAGCGTGATCATGGGAGTGAGTTGAATTGAAGTCCACCTCAATCCGCGGAAGAAGGCCTAACCAAGGCTTTCGGACCCGGAGCCGGTCTTCGGTAGGTGTGGGGCCGACTGCACCGATGGCCTGTGCATTACCCGTCAGTGAGACAGCAAGGTGAGATTTGAGTGAAAATTGACAGATTGCTCCCACACCAAGACCAAATTCACCTATATCTCAACGCAGCAACGCACGGGCTCTGTCAGATTTTGTCAGAATGGGAATGCGTGTGGGCGGGCGCTTTCCAAAAATACACAACACAAGTTGCCTTGCCTCTGCCTTCTCCCAAAATCGCAAAACTCCCCCAATCTTCACACAAAAAGCTCAACATGATCAGGAAGCATCAAAACATCAAGAAGAAACATCACCAGGTGCTCCAAAGAGCAAAAGAAATGACCCCAACCCGATTTGAACGGATAACCTTTCGATATCATGTCAGAAACGGTCGAAAGACCGGCTCTGGAGTCGAACGCGCTACCGTTGCGCCATAGGGCCTCTTGTTGTAGGAGAAGCTGGCAGAAATGGCGCATAAGAACCTTCAAAAGCGCGAAATGCGGGGTCCGAGACCCACGTACACTTTGGAAAGAGCGGCAACCTTATCCAGCACGTGGGCGAATCTTGAGCTCAACGGCGACCACCAGTTCGTCTCTGATGGGACCGCCCCCCGCTCTCCGGTTTAAACGTGCAGAATGCGAGTTTCCGGTGAATCTTATCAATCTGGTTTACCTGAAAAAGCCGACGTATCCGGTTGGATGTGTGTTGTTTTGATTGAATCTTCGATCTCTCTTTAGACTCGTGTGTGTGCATGCGCGCGCGGTGCCGTGACTCGTGTGCGGCCCATCCCGCCTCAAAGGTTCCCTTCCCACGGACCAAGCCCGAGGCTCTTGTAAAGTACCAGTTCGTGCCGTGACGAGAAGTGATCGGCGGTCAATTTGTGCTCTAATTCAAGCGCTTAGATCGGGCTGTCGAAATCACATGGGATAAGCTTTTCCATGATTCTCCAACTTTTCCATGTAAGCTTACATCGGAGGTATGTTGCCATGTTCGGCAGGCGACAAGCAACACCAGTGAGGGGTTGGGAATTTGGTGTGTGAGTATTGGAGAACCGCATAAACGGCACTGCCAGGAGCTGAACAGCAACGGCCACCCTGTTGCGCTGAAGTGGTGTGGGCGTCATTTATGCTTTGCTGGTTAGCGGGACTGCCCGCAAAAAATAAGTCTTAGCTTCTTCTCATTTATATTGGGAAAGCAAACGATTGAGAATTGAGTTTGCGGGCTCTCTCGGCCGGATTGACGGTTCGGGGAAGTCGGATTCCAAGAGATTGTGATTGCCTTGATGTGCGCTGTTCCTGGGCGATCCGCGTGTTAGTGGCCTTCGTATGCTCGGGTTCGCAGATCACTCCTGTCGCATCACAACACATCGCAATTCATGAAGCCTCGAGTTCAAGATATCAATATGGTTATGTATTAAGGAGCCGTCGTCAGAGGAAACCCAGTCCTCGCTCCATACTAAGAAGTTATGTGCATGAAAGTCATCCCTGAGGCCGGACCAAGTAGTCGCGTGCCTCCCGATTAAAATAGTAGAATATCATCATCCCATCATTCCCCTTACTACCAAGGCAAGCAAGCTTACAAAGCAGCCTTGCCGAGGTTGCTGTTGAAGTTGGCCTCCTTCATGGGCACGTTGGCGCTGCCAAAGTCGGTGTTCTCGAGCGCGGTGCGGGCGGCGTCGGTGAGGGACTCCCAGGCGATGAGGGGCTGCTGGCCGCCCTGGTCGCTGGTGAAGATCATCTGGTGGTTGACGGGCCAGATGCTCTGGTAGCCGACGCGGGGGTGCGTGGTGTCGGTCCAGCTGATGCCGGAGGTCTTGGTGTCGTACTCGCCGTGCGCAGAGACCGCGACGCCGAGGACGGTAGCGGAGTCGGAGGCGGCGGAGAGCCAGACGACGGTGTTCTCCCAGTCGTGGCGGTGGCCGAGGCCGGACGAGGGGGAGTCCTTGGGCATGTAGTAGGAGTACATGATGGCGTAGGCGCCGTTGTAGGAGCCGCCGCGGGCGTAGACCTGGCCGGTGGAGGAGGAGCAGCCCCCGTTGGAGGAGCCGGAGGTGGCAAGGCCGCCGCTGGAAGGTGTTAGTGTTCTGGGTGAGACGTGAAATGGGAGTGAGAGAGCATACCCAGTGTTGCCGGCGGCGTCGACGGCAGGGAAGGGAACACAGCCGTTCACGACCTTGAGGTAAGGCTTGTACTTGAGGTACAGAGCACCGACGGTGCCTGAGGGCACGGTCTCAGCAAAGCCAACGACGGCATCGTGGTCGATGACGGCACGAGCCTGGATGGGGGCCGCGGAGACGAAGCTGGCGGCGGCAGCAAGCCACGAGGCGAGGCGGAGGACGGAAGGAGCCATTGTGACTTTTGGGGATGACTTGTCGAAAGTCAAGCTTGATGTGAAGAAGGGATCGGGTTGGAGCTGCCGGATGTGCGGTACTAGATAAGAAGATCTCTGAGACGAACTGGGGGATCGTCTCTACATATGTCTATCTGATCTTCTGAAACTGTAACCACTGCAGCTGACGGGAGTGACGTGTGGGAGGGGGCAATAATGACTCGGTGAGGCAAAGCAGGCAAGCCAACTTGGATGTTGTTCAAGAAGGGCCTGTTCCTGCGTCCGATCAGCGTCGTCTTGCATATCTTATAGTCACATTTCGTTTCTTGTCTCGTCCTCTCAGGACATGCAAATCATCCACGAGACACTCGAAAAGCGTTGCTGGGGTCCCATCACGCCCCTCTCGACGAACCAGAGATCAATATTTCCCACCAGGCTAGGTAACAATCATCTCCGAGGGCCATCACATCCTCCTCTCGCCCAGAGGAAAAGGGTCTGAGAATCGGTCACATTGGTGCCCTCTCGACCCCGCCCGTGGCACGGCGTAGTGTCGCGATTGGGCCAGGCCATGTTTGCAAGTGCCGTTTGCCGATGGTGCTAATGAAGCGTTTCCCGCTGTCGAATATGGGCCTGAGCAAGCCCCTGGCGGGATGCCGAGACGATATCGTGGGATTCTAGTGAGCAGCCTAGAGGGAGCTTGCGCAGCTGCCGCCTTTAGCACGGCGATTGGGGGCCATTGAGGAGAAACAGGAGGGTGGTCGGGCCCAAGGGTCACCGTCTGGCAGGGGAGCATTCGCTGCTAGATGCATTTAGGTACCGAGCTGATCCCTGTCGCTGTGCCTGCATCTGGCATCTTGGTCCGGTGCCAGTGAGGGAGCCATGTAACCTCGATATCCAACTCCTGTCGTTCCCCGCCCGAGCTTCTCCTCGTGGTCTCGTTGTCTGGTCTCCAAGCGGTCTGACGGATATGCGTCGTCGGACATGGTGCGATTTGAGTTGTGTGGGGATGTCGCATGCTTGCAAGTTGCAGCTTGGGTGCTTGGGAAGACGAAAATGCGGTCTTTTTTCTGTTTCTTCACCGAATTGCGCATTCTCCCCGAGCTCTCGCGGGAACGACACAAGGGTGATGGCTGAATTGATCTGCGTCATCGACAGCGGTCGGGAGGCGAGCATGAAAGATCGCTTGACACATCCCGCCTCAGCTGGCGGCGAGGTTATGCGCCCGCGAATCAGGCGCGACCGCAGCCGCTGAGGAACATGGCCGACGGTCGTGACGGAACTGGGTTGTTTGCCTCTCTGGCGTCGCAGCGTGGGCTGAGCGATGGGGTCCCGTTTTAGTTCTACAACAGTTTCGCGCGCTCGCCATGCTCTTGGGGACCGTTTTTGTCGGGGCCCCATGTGGCGAGAGATATATATCGCAGCTACGTATATGCGAAAGAGTCGTATTTGGGGTGGGGTCTGCAAACGTCTTTATTGAAGCTCCTTTGGGCTATTGTGGACAAGCTTTGGAGTCCACATGGCAATCGGGTGGCCTTCTGGTCACTCGGCCGAAGACAAAATGTTCGTGTCAAGGCTGTCGCCTGTAGGTGAGAGGTTGGCTGGCGTGGCCCCGGCGTCCTCTTTTTCAATATTTCAATCTGCCCGAGTCAGTTGTCGGCAGCATCCGGATCCGGGGTTCCAGATGAGCTCTTTCAATGGGTCCCAACAGTGTGGATGGGCCAAAAGACTCGGGACCAGGCGATGGGAAATTGCGTTGGTGGATGCTGGCCCAGGTCTTTATCGCGTAGAAGAAATGAAGACGACAAGTCAATTGCTCGTGTCTGGGCAAAAATGTCCCGAACAAACAGACCAACACCTAAAGAGCAGGTGCAATGAATGCTGCGAGTCATCGACATGGTGTTATTACATATCTAGATCCCGTAGAGGAATTGAGATGGGTATCAAGCTTTCCGAACATCGTAAACACGATCCGTAACAGATCATCGCCCTCCGAAATCAAGCCCTTGGTGGGCTATCCCTTCCTGGCTTTCCAGGTAAACGGCCATTAAATCAGAAAAATCAAACTGTGCGCCAAATCTTAGCTAAAGTCCCACGACTCTCCCCACAACTCGTTCAAATTCAATCCCAGAGCTTCAAGACTAAAGTCGGGATTGAACGACTGCTGCTGCGTCTTTGCCGCCAACACACTGTCAGCAACGAGTGCTGGGGAGAAGTCTTCGTGAAGACTCACCTGCGGATCCATGGATGATGACATCCAAGGTAGCGGTTGAGGCAGCAGTCCGTCGACCGTGTTGTGAGACGACGGGTACCCCTGGAAGGAGAAGGGCGTGACGGACTTGAGCGGTTCAGTCAGTAAGTGTTCGTTTGTGCGGAACTGATTGCGGAAGATGCTCACCTTTGGTCTTTCGGGAACCTCCAGGCCGGGGATCTTGGAGAGCTCCGATTGCTGGCTCGATACCGGCGGCTCCTGGTTCGCCAGCAGCTTGTAGTGCAAGTTGACAAAGCGTTCCGCGGACGACGCCTTCGCTTGCTCCGTCGTCTTCGTGCCCAGATGGGCCTCGAGCAGGCCGAGGGATGAGCACATGATGGAATAACCCCATGGCTCGTTGTTGCCGGTCCGCAGCAGCCTATCCTCCTTCATCAAAAGGCACTTCTCGAGCAACTTCACCGTGTGCTGGGAGTTGATCATGATCATGTTGGTCGAGCCGCGGGGCTGCAGCATCGTGACACTGCAGAGGTTGACGGCCGTGGTGAGGGTGTCTTCGCGAAGGAAGTTGAGGCAGCGGATGCCCTGCTCATAGAGCTTGTCGTGCAGGAGCACGATGTCTCGGGCGGCGTTGTAGTAGATGATTTCGGAGTACTGGTATTTGGCATTCGACTTTCGCAGCTTGAGGAATGGTTGGTGGAGAGGAATGATGTACTGGCGGAGCTGGACGTGGAGGAGGGTGTAGGCGAGGAGCGGACGCTTGCCGCCGTGGGTGTTGTTGTTGTTGTGCTCCCAAGATGGCAGAGAGTCGATCTCGTGGGTGATGTCGTTAGTATACCTGATGACTTGATCGTAGTCGATCTCCCCAGGTGGACCACACAATAGCCTGCTCAACTCCATGCGGAGGGGCAGACTCTGGCGAGCGAGATTCTGGTAGGAGGAGAAAGTGTACTCCTTTCCGTGCTTCGAGGGGGGCAGCTGAGTGGTGTCCTCGTCAAAGTCCTCGTCGTCCAAATTCCTCGGGGGCTGCACGTCGTAGTGCAGTTGGCTAACAAGCGTTGGCAGACCGTGGTCGAAGGAGGCCTGCATGTCGAATTCCTGCACCGTTGCCCATATCCTCCTCCTCATTTCCTGGTTGTAGACTGAGATCTTGCCGGACATGTGGCTGGGCTCACGATGGAGACCGACTGAAATTCCATCCTGGATAAGAGCTCCCGAGTTCGTCCAGAAGCGCTTCTTCTTGACCGTGTTGACGCGCTTGCCAAGATACAGGAGGCATGCAATTTGGTAGTGGATGAGCTTTCGGTGCTTCACGCTCTGCTTGTCCTGCCAATCCTCAACGGCTTTGATGTACTTCTCGGCGGTTGTCTGGGCATTGGAGATCATGCCCGTGAACCTCATAGACTCGTGAGTGTGGATGCAGTTTGCAACCGCGATGATGGCCAAGACAAGGGCGGTGAAGGCGGCATAGCGGGACTCGGCAGGGTTCTCCCAGAATTCCGAGTACTCTCTCCTGAAGGTGGGGATGTGAATGATGCGGTGCATTTGCTCGAACTGGTCGATGTAGACCTCAACCAGGGCATCGACTTGCTCCTTGGGCGGCAGAAGAGCCTCCAGCCGGGGGTCAGGCTGAGCGTAAAACTTGTCGCGGTCCTCCTTGCGCTTCTTACGATCCTTGCGGTCATGAGCCTTCACCGGTTTCAGCCATTCATCTGCTGTCTCCTTCATAAAGGGACACAGGCCAGTCAACTGGAATGAAGTCAGATAAATGTCCTCCATTAAATCATTGAGGCTCCCGGAGGAGCTCGATAGACCTACCTCGATGAACGCCATCGTGGCGTTGTGAGGACCGAAATACCTCGTCCTGAATTCCTTGCCTCTGAAAAAGCGGAGCTCTGAATTGGCGCCACCGTCGCTGTATTGATGCCAGCACTTCTCCATTTGGTGAGTGTTGGCGCATGGATCATTGGCGGGCGTGTCGGTGGACTCATCCTTCTGAGTGTGCGGTGAGTTGGTGCCGGCAACTGTGCTGCCATCGAAGCTGGACATGGCCTGTCGGGTGAGTTGAGTCTTGAGCTGAGCGACTTCCAGCTCGAGACGGCGGATGCGGTCGTGGTCCTTGGCCGCCTCCCGGACCAGGGACATGTCGGTTTCCTTGGTGCCGCCCATGGCCAGTTCACCGTTCCTCCGAGAGTCCAGCTGGGCAAACGCGGGGGGGACTCCTGAGCTGGCGTTCAGAACGACGCCAGACTTGGTCTCGTAGGTGCAGCGGTCAGGAGTGCCGCTCTTCAAGCACCGCTGGCACGGATAGCCACGGTCACAAGAGAGCTTTCTTCGGCGGCACTCTAGACAGCTGAGACGCACACGCTGGCGTTTGCGGGGGTGTTGGCTGTTCTCGTCGTCATCTCCCCGGGAGTTGGTGGGAGAGAGACTGTCGTTGTCGTCTACTGAGGGGGGCGACATTTTGTCCTCGTTGGGCATTTTTTTTCTTTCTTGATGCGGGCTTATCGATTGCAACGCAGCGAAGAAGAATGATCAAAAACGAGGGAAAAGTGTGCCGCGCGCAACACTTGCCACCAGCATGGTTATAACAAAAGTACAGAGTGACAAACTCAAGTCAGGCTCCGGTCCGGAGCGTTCTTTTTCACCTGCCGTTTGCTGTCAAGATGTACTGGAGAGGCCAAGGGAAGAAACTTGCCCCTGTCAGGCAGTTCGAGTTAGAGCCGAGGCTGCGACGCGTGAGGCTTAACAGCGTGCAACCTATTTTTAGGTGCACGATTGTTAGAGGGCGCCCAGAAAGCTTACCTAAGACCGATGTCTCCGAGCACCGAGGTGGTATAACCGAGCAGCGCCGAGCCAGAATTTCCACTAATAAGTGGGGCATCTGATAAGATTAGATCGGGCCTTCCCCCCAATTGTTCTCCATCTCTTGACTCACACTGCAGGGATCTCCATCAGATAATTTGCTCTCTGCAACCCACAAACCGAGCGAAATACCACGCAGTAAGCCGACGCAAGACGCGCGGTTCCCACCAGCTTGACATAAATCGAGATGGCATGCCCTGGATTGCCATCATCCTCGTCGATTGTGTTGTAACGTCGTGATGGGGGGATTGCGAGGGCATTGAGTAACCCCACGACGCGGCCTCGTTAGACCGGACGAAGGAAGCCATACAGACTACACAACACACAAGGACAAGGCCAGACACTCGCCGGACGACGCCTCTTGATCCTTCTGTCGTCTAGTCGGCAACGCGGCCGTCAAAGCAGCCCAAACACTGCCATCATCTGTTGGAGTCATACATCCTCAAGTGGCATGGCGACATCTCAGTTTTTCCCCTCTCAAAGTCCGCCTCCGTCTCTCCAGGGATGCGATGCATGCACGACGCTACTTTGCCCGTACCGACGGGTGTGAAAAAAAGCACCTGTAGCGGAGGAGTGTCAGGCTGTGCCACACCGATTGACACTAGGCGCTGCCGACCATTCCGGGTTCGTGATGCCCCCGTCTCCATCAATGGATCTTTTTTGTCATTCGAACCTACGGTGAACCCTTGGCAGTGCCATTCGCATTGGGTCACGAAATGATCACCGGCATGCGAAGCGAGAACTTTTGATTCTCGTAAACAGGTTCCCGCCACGACCGATGGTATGCTGCATCAGTCAGAATTCATGCATCCCATCCTGTCAAAGATGACAGAACGGGATCTGCTGGCATCGATGCTGCCAGCGGACAAAGACTGATGCGATGACCCCAACACCAACCCCAACATCGACGTGGAAGGACGGACCGCATACCTCGGGACCCGAAAATCGTCGTCTGCAAAAATTTCACCTCGAAGCCCAACCCAGCTGCTCAAGGAACAAGGGGGCCAGGCACGCGAGCGAGCGGTTAAACACGAGTGGGGTCATAGTTTGCAATTGCAGGAATGCATCACGAAAGAGACTGATCTTTCCGACCACTCATATCGCGCAGCAGCTGCAGGCGGAATGGATCCCTCCCCGTCCCAGCAGACACGAACACCCCACAAGTTTCCGAAAAAGCTTTTCGAAGACCCGACGGGCTCCAGCCTGGTGTGATCGCCCGCAGCGGCTACGCAAACACGCAGGCCTCCTCACCAAGTTTTTTTTTCTTCAGTCCACATTTAAAGTTATCAGATCAAAATCCTTGTCGATGGCGGATCAGCACTCCGAGATCGGTGCAGGGTCCCTATTCGTGCCTTGGTCCGGTCACAGCCACAAGGAGGCTTCGGGAGGCTTTGGCAGGCTTTCGTAGGCTGGCAGGCAGATGGCAGATGGGAGCTGGCAATGGCCACGCTGGAAGCGTTTCAAGGGGATCGACGTCAAACGCTGCACGGGATGCTGGCTTGCCTGCGCGTGCTGCGCGACACTCCTCGGCCGCCATGGCCCCGGTGAACTGTAGCATTGTGAGACACGTACCGGAGCGGAAGCGAGCTCGTGGCGACACAATGTGTTTGCTTTGCTGCGATTATGGCATTTCGCCGCGAAAGCCGTGGCCTCTGGCCCCCAGAACAAAACAAAACAAAACAGCTTCCTCTTGAGAGATTCGATCTTTCCAATATCACCGAATGACGACTGCAATGCAATAGCAGACGCCAAGAACCCACGATGCGCCTCTCTCTCGCCTTGCTCTCGGGATTTCTCGCGATCTCTCAAGCCAATCATATCCCCGGTAGGAGCTTCGATCGATTGATTTCCATCTGGCTGGAAAACCAGGTATGCAGCCCACATTCCTCCGCCCGCAGCACCCCTTGCTGATATTAGCCGTCCACAGGACTTTGCCAAAGTAGTCAAGGATTCCCACATTGGCGACCTGAAGAAGGAAGGGATTCTGTTAACCAATTATTACGCCCAAACCCACCCAAGCCAGCCGAACTACATTGCAGCTCTTGCAGGCGACTACTTTGGCCTGAACCACGACGAACGCATACGCCTGCCAATAAATGTCTCTACCATCGTGGATCTGCTCGACTGGCGGGGCGTGTCATGGAAGGCATACATGGAGGATTTGCCTGGTCCGGGCTACTTGGCCGATGCCAGTGATGGCCAGACGGGCGGCGGCAAGTGGGACTACGTCCGAAAGCACAAGTTGGTTGGCCTGTTGATGAAGTTTGCTTCTGTGGAAACTGATATTCGCGCAGCCCCTTTGTCTCCTTCGACTCCATTAATCTCAACGGAACCCGGCTGCTCAACATCCAGGATTTCCAAGAGTGGAAGACTGACTTCGAGGCCAAGCAAGTACCCCAGTACGTTTTCATGACTCCCAACATGATGAACGACGGTCACAATACCACCCTCGAGTACGCCACCAAGTGGGCCCGCGACTTTTTGAAGCCCATGTTGGCCGAAGACGCTTTCAAGGAGAGGACTCTCATCCTCTTGACCTACGACGAGTCCGAAGACAAGGGCAAGCCGAACCAGATCGTGTCACTCCTGATGGGAAGTGCAATTCCCAAGAACCTGAAAGGGACAGAGGACAAGACTTTCTACTCGCACTACTCGATGATGTCGACGGTCGAGTTCAACTGGGAGCTTCCGAACCTCGGGAGGTATGATGTTGGAGCCAACATCTACCAGTTTGCGCAGAACCTCGGAAGCAAAGTTCTCGTATCAAACAAGGACCCGCCTAACATGGCGGACGTGAACAATTCCGAATCGTACCCTGGAGCCTTGAACAACGACACTGGCAAGTTCCGTCCCTATCCGCCTCCGAATCTTGGACTCAACGGGTCGAGCGGGCTGCCAATTCTGGAGCACATTCGCTTGCAATGGATTTTCCATAAGGAGGAAACACCGTATGATGGAAAAGGCACTCTCTATGATGCCAGATTCCAGCCAAAGTATATACCGCAGGTTCCTGTCAGGCATGGGGCTTGAGCATCGAGAACTTAGACAACTTCGAAAGCTTGCGCCCCGCCGGGATATGCCGAAGTCTGATCGAGCATCTTATGCATATGAAGCTTTGGCGATTTCCAGCCTCCTTTGATTGCAAATCACAAAGTTATCCTGAGCCTTCTCATACCGCTGCGTGGGCTTCAAGAGCTTGAGAGGACGCTGTCGGCCTTGCGCGGCACAAAAGGGGCACTTCCAATTGCGGTACGGCAACTTGATCGGAAGTTACGTTGCGCAGAGGTAAAGCGCATGGGCTGATCTTGTGCGTAAGTGCTTGACCAGCTCGTGATAGCGTCCGCCCTTCAGATGGAAGGTTGAACGAACACATTGGGCGCATTCTGACCATCGCCGGCTTCAACGGATATTAATGGTGACACCACTGTTATCCGTTGAATCCAGGCCAGTACATGTGCTGCCAAGCGTCGAACATTCTGGCGTGACTTCTGGAATCCGTCGGACGTTGGCAGCATGAGGAAACACCCAGCTACCACCCGGCTATCGCTAGCCTCGGAGGCGGATCGCGCATGTGCCACATGGCAGCAACGGACATTGCTTTGGTGCGTCCTGCCCCAGACCGCACAGCGAAGCCGCCTTTTCGCCGTTTTTCGCAGGTTTGGGTCGCCTGTTGCGGACACTTCACGACTCAATGACGGAGCAAAGTGGTGTCTTCGGCGAGAGCGAAGCATCGCGTGAGTCCCACAGAACCGGCCTATCGCAGCTTCATGATGTATGTGTACTGTACGACACAATCATATGCAGCACGTCACATGCTAGGGGTCGCACGAGATGATATAATATAGACAAGATCTGATGCCAATATAATGAATGGGCCTCTATGCAGCAAACGGCACTCTAGGGTATCAATCAATTATGACACGCCGTTCCACATCCGGTATTGTAGCTTTTGGGAAGCAAGACGGGCCGGATGCATACCGGTAAATTTGACGAACGGCGCGGTTGACGCGCATCGTACGTAAGGGTAACTTTATCTGAAGCTATTCCCGAAGCATGCATCATCACACCTAGTTCATGAGCAAATGCCGACATTTTGACTCTACCTAGCATACTGGCCAATGCCGAGATCGTTAAAAAGTCCTCGATTAGAAGTTGCGACCTGTCATGGCAATGTCGACATCTATCTAGATTCGCTCACTCACAGGATCGATCAGACTGATCGTTACTACGTTGTTGTCAGTGCCAGAATCTAGACCACGTTCCTGCCTGCCAGTATGACTTGCATGTAAGATTCGCAGTCCGAGAGTCGTCTCACCAAAGCCAGCCCTAGCAAATCTCCATGACTCGAAGACAAGCCACCATTTCTGCTCCGCCGCGTCTTTCAACATCGGCCCCGAAGCGCGGCAATTCCTTCTAGACGCAATTCTCAAAGCCGTTCCGGCCACGACTTTCTGACATTGAACAGGAGACTAGGAACGCTGTTGCGAGGCTAATGACACAGAAGAACGGACTCCTCCTGCGCCACGCCAGCCGCGAGGATTCCTCATTCGCTAGACGTTAATGCGACCGCGGCGACTCTAAGAGCGGGCCTCGTCGTGAGGCCGTCGCCGCGCTTGTGGCATTAGCGCCAGGGCGAAGGCACGCGGCGCTACCGCCAGTGCCTATTGTTCCCTTGCATGTCTCACATCTGTCAATAGACACGCCAGGAAGAGTGCGCCAGGAAGGAGACTGCACGACAGAATCCCCCTTGCTGGACAATATTTTCCCAATGAGTGCCATTGCTCCGGGTGGCTGGCGACGATGGCAGCATCAGCCATCACGACAGCTATCGGGAGGCGTGCGTCCCCCCACTTTTGGGGCTTGTTTCCAGTTGCTGTCTTCGACGTCACCTTTGCAACTCTCAGGGTCGCAATCTCAACCGGACTGTGACTCTGTGTAACAAGACATTTTCCCCTCCGTCTCCCGCGCCGTTGGGGTATTCCATATCCCGTGACGCCCAGCAGAGAAGAGAGAAGAAAAAAAGAGCAACCCGATCATCTTGCGACCGGGAGGCCATGCGGATACCCGCAAAAGAGCTGGCCAAGATGCAACCTCTCGCGACGAGAAACACTCCTGGTGTAACGCGAGAGGATCTCCGTGGGAAGATATGTGGATTCCCCAGTCCCGCTCCGTTCGAACGCCAGGTCTGTACTACTGTTTCGCATCACGACTCTTGCCCTTCCGTCGTCCTACGATGAATGGCCCCCGTCGGCCGCTGGCATCCGCAGCGCCGTGCCAAGGTTGTGAGGCTTTCCTCCCCCGCTTGGACGTCCGTTGAGACTTCCGGTCTCTTGCGTCGAGCTGCTCGACCGGACCGTTGGCGGGGCGGTGCTCGGTCTGGCTTCCTAGAGGACAATTGTCCTCCTCCTGGACAATGGGACAAGACGGATCTCATTTGTGCAGGAAGCTCGTCCTACTCCTTGCATCCGTCGTCCTGGCGTCGAACCCAAGGATCGTGTTCTTGTTCGATTGAGGGGGAACTGAGAGATGACCTGCATGGATCGGCCTTGCATGGCGATAACATCATTCTTCACCGCACGGGCCTCCGGCGTGTTCATGGCTCTGGGACTGGTGAGTGGTCTACTATTGTTCTCTCTTCCCAGCAATTGGCCCAGCAATTGGATGGGGAAAATGTGGGAAAACAGGAGGAAACAAGGAGATCTCCGCAGTGGGGAGCTAAGCTCAAGCTGCTGGTCACCGCGTGGCTCTCCCTCCTCTCCTCCCACCTGAGCTTCACGCAACGCCGTCTGGTTGGCCCGCACCTTACCTTACTCAGGTCAACAAGGTCAAATTTCTCCGCAGCTCGGATGAAACTAGCAAAAGTACACTGTGACAAAAAGGCAAACATGATTCAGTCCTCCCAGCCCTAGGCATATTGAGCGAGCATATTCCGGGAGGAGGAACCACGGAAGGACATGGCTACTACTCATGAAGACTCACTCCCAGAGCCTTTGCCTGAGTTGGGATTGCCTCACGGCAGTTGGAAACAACGAATACGCAGGGAAAAGCAAAAAAGGAGGAAGCCATGAGAAGTCACCAACCGGGGTGGCGCTCAACGTGACACGGGAAACATGCACGAAACCGTTCACGCCCAGCAAATGGCTCATGTCACCCAGATCATTCCCTACCTTAGGCCGGATCAAGGATCCACTGCCACGAGGGCTTCATTCGATTGTCTGTTCCATTGACTCTTGCGCGAAATGTGTTTCTGCTAGTCACTTACGGTGAAGCAAAGTCACACCCGAGAGACGATACCGCTCCGCTCCTTCACATAATCTAGCCTGACTGACACACCCTGATCCCGTCCCGAACCGCTCAAACCTCCCCTTCCCCTCCCTCCCATCCCGTCCCGGCTTGCCCGTCCAGCAATCTTCATTGAGACCTTCGATGCGTGTGAAGGCTCATTGGACAGGCCTACTCCGTTTCCCTACCTTACGTGATTAGTTGGGACACGGCTCTCGAGCCATGTGGAGAGCACGAAAGCTTACCTGCAAAGGGCATGCATCCGGGCCACACTTCCCGCTAAAGGGACGGGACGGATCAGTCCAACCAGAGTTTGGGCGGTCTCTCTCGTACACCACTCTTTTTTTCACTCTGCCGTCTCTACACACACCAGCTGATAGTGTGTAGTCCATCTCCCGTGCTAGTTTCCTCCCTACCTCCCCTGAGCGAAAAGGAAAAAGCAAGCGCAAACCTCCCTTGCTCGGACGGCAGTCCGCAGCTTATATCGCAGCTGCATCTCCCCCCTCCGTCCCCCCACCCCTCCCCATCAAGGATGACATTGACAAGCAAGCTGTCTGTGGTCGTCCGCGAATTCCATAACGGGGAGATTCGTCCCTTTTGATACGATCCAAGGGCACAACATCTGTTCAAGCTGCCCCTTTTTCTTCCATTCCATCATTTTATCGCCTTCGGTTATAGGCTTTTACACGGCAGCACATCTACATTTGAACGAGAGGGAAGGCGAGATGAGGTGGATGCAGGCCGGTCTGGCGGCTGCGGTCGCCTTCTTTGGGGTATCACAGGGTGCGCTCACCGACTTCGTCGGCCAACTGCCGCCATGCGGAGTGAGTAATTTTCGGAATGCTTCATTATGGTGGCTTCTTCTTGAAGAATATTGACTTACTTTTGGGTGGTGTAGTTGACTTGCATTATCAACGCGATACCAGCGTCAGCGTGCCATTCCGTCGACAACGACACCTGCATATGTAGCAATGAAGACTTGAAGACGCAGGTGCAGGTATGTCTCCTCGCAAATTGTACGAGGATAGAAGCTTTAGGTCCGTCCTTTCCCTTCAAAATTTGCTTGAGAAGCACACTAACACGCCAATAGATGTCGCAAGGATAGAGGCCGAAGCATGCAATAGACCAACACGCGAGCGCAAGGTGGACATTCTGGCGCCGTTGGCCATTCAGATTACTGGCTTCTTGATGGTTCCGTTGCGGTTATACGCGCGATGGACGACGATGCACCATTTTGCTCCGGACGATTGGATCATGCTGTTCACAGGGGTATGTCAACTCACGAGGGATGTAGATGGCTGCGATCTGACAAGTGACAGCTCATGTTTGCCGTTTTTGTCGTGCTTGGACAAATTGGTAAGCGCAGAAGACTCCGCTATCAAGTTCTCTACTAACTAGACTTAGCCGGTGCCGTTGCCTTTGGAGAAGATGTATGGATGGTTAGGCCGGACGAACTGACATTCGGCCTCAAAGTTAGTCACCCTTCTGTTGTCATCAGTATTGCATCTAACCGGACCAGGTATTCTATGTTGACGAGAGCCTTTACCTAGCCTGCCTAGGCCTAACCAAGATATCAGTGTTATTCTTTTACCTCCGAATCTTTCCCAACAAACCATTCCGCTGGGCAACGTACGGAACGATGGGTTACATCATCATCTCGACGACAGTTCTACTCTTCATGCAAATCTTCCAGTGCATCCCTTTCGAGTTCAACTGGGTAGGCTGGCGCGGCGACTACGGCCCGCACCACTGTCTCGACATCAACACCCTCGCCTTTGTCGCCGGCGGGCTGAGTATCAGTCACGACATCATCATCATATTGTTACCGCTCCCACTGCTCTACAAGCTCAACATGTCCAGGCGCAAGAAGGCGGGCATCTTCTTCATGTTCAGCCTCGGCGTCTTCATCCTCATCACATCGTGCGTGCGACTGCAGTACATCGTCCTCTTCACGCGATCGCTCAACCCGACGTGGGACTTTACAGACCCGTTGATCTGGTCCGGGGTGGAGGTGTCCGTGTCCATGATCGTGGTGTGCTTGCCGGCGGTGCGGACGCTGCTCAACCGCATCTTGCCGAGCATATTTGGGTCGACGGCAGCGACGGAGATCACGCCGAACCGCAAGGCGTCCGCCGGGTCTGGGTTCAGGTCCATTGACAGCAACCGGCAGTACCAGGGCCGGTTCGACTACGAGGAGGAGAGGAGGGAGGTGGCGCGGGCGGCGAGGCTGGTGGAGAAGAGGCGCAAGTTCTTTTCGTTCATACCGAAGGCCAGGGAGCCGAACGAGAGCGAGCTGGAGCTGGGGGACAAGTCGAAAGGAGAAGTGAGGACGGATATTAGGCATGCGGATGGTGGTGAGGCTGCTGAGACGAGGCGGAGCTCGATGGAGAGCGGGATTCACGTGAGCACTACGACTACGTTTGAGGACCCTCTTGGGAGAGGACAGAGGGACAAGGCTACATTCTAAGGAGAACTTGGGGTCACGAATGCAGACGCACGAAGGCAGTCGATGGACCGGAGTCGCGATTCGGCGCCAGCTCGGGTTCACAGCACTGAGTCACTGTTTTGGGGATAACAGGATACTACTGGTTGGGGCATGGGATCTGTGATACCATTTGCATGGAAGGGCGTTGGTTTGACGGGCAAATACGTAAAACGAACTGAACAGTGTAAAAGTAATAGTATTATTTGAACCTTCATCAAAACTTCCTCGTGAAGATGGATGCATGGTGGGGCTTGTCCGAACCACTGACTTGGACGTGCCCATGGCCGGGTTGCTCGCAGCTGGAGCATCAGCCCACGATATCAGCCCAAACCGGGGCTCAACTCAATCGAAAAGCCAAGTCTGAATAAGAATGCGCCACGTGCTGGAAACAAAGATCCAGAAACCAAGGGTCCAGGCCTAAAATATCTTGACCTTACGGGAGACATTTACTCTCTACACGAGAGGCATATCGCCCGCAGACCTCGTCGCGGCTTCGCGTCGTGGGATAAGGTTTGCATCCCCATCTCAAAAGTGGCGTGATTCCAGACCACCTGGAAGAAGTGCCGTTCATTTTCGACGTGGAAGATCACCAATCATCGGGCGCGCGGGGGCAGGTATGGAGGGAGCTTGATCGGAGCTTAATCTGTGTGAGTGCGTGTTACCAGGGTGAAGGGGGTAATTGATTGTGTAGAACTCTCTTATTGCTGCGCGGGGTTCTCCGCCTGAAGTGGCCGTCTGAAACTGCAAGACCACCTCTTTGAGCGGTTTCGTGGCTTGGGTGTGGTGAGCTGGGGAGCCTAGAAGGATGGTGGAAGAAGTATGTTTGGGATGGGGCATGTTGTGGCGGTTCGGGAAACGCGGGTGGGGGCTGGAATGGTGGGATTCAGGGACCGGACCCTTGATTGGAGTGATCCGTCAAGTGCGGAGCTGTCCGGCCAATTTTCCCACGATGGCCCCGAAAGGGAACAAGGTAGTGGCTTTATTGGGAAGGGTTGCCGACCAGGAAAAAGGGATCCCGACATGGCAACCGGGCTCCGATGTCCGCTCCGTGATACGGCCGGAGAGGACCGGCAACCGTACCCACACCGGAGTGACCCACAATCGCAACGGCCTTTGTGCACCTAGTTGTGCAACCACCGGGAATTAGATGGTGCTCAAACGTCGTCCTACCGCATTGCTGCATCTCGATAACCCCGCTCACCTCACCGGTCTCCCCTCACTGCTACGGTGTGGGTGACGTCATGTCTTGCAACTACCATGCAGCCCAGCCAAAACGGACAGGAACGCACGTATGGGGAAAATCGTATACTGGACTCAGCTCAATATCCGACCTGTTCCTGCAATGTGGCTGGCTGGATATGGCGATGGTCGAAACAGCACAATTGAGACCATTGACTCGCCTCCACCCAGCCCGATGCCATTTCTCTGCACGCTTCAGGCGCGGGCGAAAGGATCGCAGATGATGGATTTGGTAAGTCGTACGGATATAAGCCCGATAATCCGTTGAAAGGTTACGCATAGCAAGTCGTGCAACACACCGCATCGTCAAAGTCTGCTCCTCCGCATCAGATCTTCACGACAATCAGCCTCTCGCGGCCGCCTATACCCCTGTGTTATCATGGGTCTCCTTCAACCAACTCTCGACCGTTTGCGTGCTGCCGATCTTGCAGTCATATCCCGCCAAATTCTGCAATCCCGATCATTCAGAAAACCCCTGGGCATCCTAGCTGCCTTCAGCCTCATCTACACCCTCAACAAGGCCCTCGCGCGCTGGTACCTCCGCACATCCTCGCCCTGGGACTGGTCCAAAGAGATGGTCCTCATAACTGGCGGAAGCAGCGGCATCGGCGCCCTCCTCGTGCGCAACCTCGCCGCGCGCGACATCAAAGTCGTCACCGTCGACATCCAGCCCCCGCTCACCCCTCTCCCGCCCAACGCGCGCTTCTACCAGCTCGACGTGACATCCCCCGCCGCCGTGCGGTCCGTCGCGCAGCGCATGCGCGAGGATCTAGGCGGCAACCCGACCGTGCTGGTCAACAACGCGGGCGTCGGGACGGGCAAGCCGCTGCTCGCGGAGACGGACGAGCAGGTGCGCCGGACGTTTGACGTGAACATTGTGGCGCAGTTCTGGATGGTCAGGGAGTTTCTGCCGGCCATGGTGAAGGCGGATCATGGGCATGTGGTGACGGTCGCGAGCATGGCGAGCTTCCTGACGCTGGCGTCCAATGTGGGGTATTCGTGCTCCAAAGCGGCTGCGTTGTCGCTGCATGAGGGGTTGACGCAGGAGTTGAGGTATCGGTATAATGCGAGGAATGTGTGTACGAGGTATGTGATGTTCTCTCTCATGATTGAAAGGTGAAGGCAATGGTCTGATGTGGGGAGCAGCATCATCCACCCAATGTTCACTCGCACGCCTCTGATACAGCTTGCGACGGCCAAGGGGGACTTTCCGGCGGACCTGCTCGACCCGGAAGACGTTGCGGATGCCATCACGAAGCAGATCCTCCGTGGTAGAAGCGGGTCGGTTTTCTTGCCTGGGTGGTGCAGCCTGATCTCCGGGATTCAGGGGTTCCCGACAATATTGCAGGAGTTGATAAGAGGGTCCAAGGCCCATGTGTTGGACGGCCGGTCTTTTGCTGCTTGATATCGATGGGTTCGAGTATGATACCAATCTGGTTGCAGTGATACTGGAGGAAGTTCTGCTGAGCGTCGGTCATCATAGCATCAAATGCATGGATACACAAGCGATGCCGGGCTAACACTCCATCTTTGGAGCTGTCTTCTCACTGTTTCAAATCTCTACTGTTGGGCGCAACGTAGCTCGTGCAAGAACGACACGATTGGTGTTTCCACCGGGGTGCTTCTACGCTTCGTGAACACCTTTTCGGAGGATATTCGTGGCTCCCTTGGGCGAATACTTGCCTACTCAAAGTAAGTCTACGTACTAAATGCGATATAATCAATGGGATTCACAACCACAATAGTTGATTAAACCAGTTCCGCGAGTATATATGCGCTGATCTTCTTGCCATGACGAGGACCGCATTCATTGACGGTATGGCCGCAATGCTGATGGTTCCGGGCGCCAATGGCAGCTCGGTGGCATCTAGTCCCGCCAGGGAAAAGACGGGGCTGAACGACGCGTTGTAGACCAGCTAATTCCAGCCAGACCGTGAAGACTGACTGGACATCCCGCCCGTCATTCCCCACTGGCCGGCCCGGACCCGGGCCGGCGGCTGTCCCTTCGGAACTAAGAGTTGACGGAACAGCACCTACACAGATCTTGCCGACGGTCGGCCCAGAATTTGACCTCTTCAATCGCGTGGAGAAGGCTTGGTAATCCGATTGGATGCCGTTTACTGGAGAATCAGAGACCACTCGGCCGGTACGTGAAGCGCTTTGATTTCGATCAGTGGAGTGGCTCAAGGGCAGATCTGGGAGGCAGAGCGCCCTGCTGTCTGGCCGACATATAAAGATAGGCACTCAGAGCTCTCTGGCACACCATCTCAGCCGCTCAAGCGCCCGGACGGCAAGCGCCCGTTATTTTTTCCCCAAGATGAAACTTGGACTTTCTTCTTCGATCTCCCGGCAACCAACAGCGACGCTGGAAATCAGCCATCAACGGCCTCGCTAGGTCGGAATAGGCGTGGCGCCCAGCCACGCCATCTTAGTCTTGCCAGCCCTGCTAGGCTCCAGCATTGGCAAGACCAGGTCGCAATTGAGCGTCGAGCACACAGTCCTGGGAGGGAAGGGGCTATATATACAGGAGCTGCCCTGAACGGGCATGCCCCTGGGTTCAAGAGCAGCGTTCGACTCTCTCCGATTCACCAACCCGAGGATTGACACCATGCACCCCTGGCCATTCCTGTGTGTGGCCCTCGCGTTCGCTCAGAATGCCCTCGCCGTGAACCAGTTCCGACGACCTGCCGCCGATGGACCCACAGGTGACTACAGCGGAGAACCCAGCCTACGAGGTCGGCAAGGACATTACGTTTCTGTGGGACACGGATTTTGACCAGATTGATCTGGTTGTGTGGAGCGACGCGTCGGATAAGCTCAAGACGTCTCTGTATAAGAGGCTCGCAGGTAGGCCTCCAAGGAGCAACGAGGTGATGGGATGTTGACAAGACTCACGATGACTGACTTTCTACCAGTGAATCTGTCGAGCAGGGCGTATACTTGGAAGCCCAGTTTCGATGGATTTCCTGCCGAGGCGAAGACGCTGGGGGTCTTTTACCTGACCTTCTATCAGGCGGGAACCGTGAAGCAGGCTGCCCAGTCGCATTACTTCAATATCACCGATACGTCGGCCGCTTCGGCTTCGGCATCGGCTTCAGCTCCAGCGCCGACTTCAGAGGTGACATCGACATCTGTGCCGACTTCTGCAGGCACGGCGACGACACCAACAGCGTACTCGCCACCCTCATCAACATCATCGCCTTCAGCATCCACCGATGCCGCGGTGCAGCAAGATGGAAGTGACAGCAGCGGAAGCGGTCTTTCTGCTGGCGCTGTGGCTGGCATCGCCATCGGGGCAGCCCTGGGGACATTACTTGCTGCTGGTGCTGCAGCATTCCTGGCATGGAAACGGCATCAAAAGAAGAGCGGAGCCGACAAATCAGGCCCTGGTTCAAGAGGCAGCGCAGCATTCGGTGATGCTGCGGCTCAGGGATACTACGCGCCATCCGGGTACGCGCCCTCAGGCCAGTACACGTCGCCTGCATCGTATACATCGCCCTCGCAGTATGGCGGGTACTCCGCAGAGTGGAAGCGCCCGACGGTGCAGCCCGTCGAGCTGGCAACGGACAGAACTCCTGAGCTTGGGGGTGGGACCGAACATGTGGAGGAGCTGTCGACGAACAGGCGCAGCGCGATGAGTTAATAGAGTTGTAGCAGATTTCCAAATGTCAACGAAAGTCGACGTTCAAACCGTTCCAGCTCCCAATGATGCTAAACCAGTCGAAGAGTTGCTGAGATAAGCGGACTTCATCCCGCTCTCGAGATTGAAACGTCGGAAAGCTTATTTCGCAAAGAGAAGCAATTGCCGAAAGTTGCCGTTCTCTGAGAATTGGGGGAAAAGGGCACGGGTTCCGAGTTCCCCGAAGGCTCGAGCTTCACAAAGTCAGGTCGTTAGCAGAGCCTCATAACCAACCTCGGGACACGGATTCCTGTCAAAACTGTCTCGTTTTTCCTTCGAATCAAATCATGTCGTCAGTTGTCAGAAAAAGCAACAAAAGAGCTTGTTGGTGGCCGTCTCCAACCAGAAGCTGTGGCACCGGACGGGCGGTGGAGAAGAGCGCGACGGCCGCCCCACTCACCGCCTGAGACAAGGATCGCACGGACCACTTGCCGCAATTTTGGTCTGGGTTTTGTTGGTTGGAACTCCTGCTCGAGTGTCCTGAGCGTTTCCTTTCCACGTCCCAACCTCACTCACCAACGCTTTATCTGCCCTTCCCCCCTCTCTCCCCTCCACACCTGAGAGGGAAATTCCAGTTCTCACTCAAACGCGAACTCTTGAAGGTTTCCCAGCGCCTGCTTTAAGCTTCTCAGCTTCGACCCGGCGGCGCGGTCCAGAACTCTGCCGGAAAACCTTTCCGCCACTTGCGGGCCGCTTCTTATTGGACACCTGTCTCACCAGCCACTTGCCGAACGAACCATAACCACAACATGGCACGCCAGGCCAACGTCGCCGCCTCCTCGGGAGCTGCCGCCTCAGCCGGCGGCGCCGGTGCCATTGACCCCCGCGATCGCATCATGTCGCACATGAACCGCGACCACAAGCGCGAACTTTCCTACTACCTGCAGCACTTCGCTGGTCTTGGACGCAGCGCTGCCTCGTCTCCGTGGATGAAGGACGTCTCTTTTGAGGGCATGACCATTGCTGCTGGTGGCCTTGGCGGGAAAGAGTACTTTGTTGCCTTTAACCCGGCCTTGACCTCGTGGGAGGAGGTGCGCCCTGCCGTCGTCGGCATGGCGCGTGTGTCGAGGGAGGCCCTTGGCTACAGCGACATTACCGTCTCGCACTTTGAGGCCTCTTCGGGATTCGCCTTGATCGTAGGCATTTCGGTCGCCTTCTATTTCGTCTGCTACCTGACGCTGGGCTTCGTCTTGCCCGGCCGACCGATTTGGGGTTTCCTGCAGACGGTGTTTCCCGGTGGCCCGTTGTTTTACCGCTGGCTCGTCAAGACCATCTTCTTTCCTGTCTTGGGCATCCATCTCACCGAGTGCTGGTGGTTCCACAGGACTCGTCTGGTGAAGCACGGCATCGAGCCTGGCTCCAGTGTTTGGTGGCAGTGGGTTAGCAGCCTGTTTTTTGAGGGTTACCCTGGCTTCCAGAGGTTTGATGCCCTCGTCGCAGCGAAGAGGAAGGAGCAGGCGGAGTCGGGCAAGAGCCACTGAGGGCTAGGTCCGAGATAAATCGATGTTGGTTTGGGCCGAGACCACAGTCGACGGAGCAGGCGACGTGGGAAGAGTGAACCGGGCGTATGGTGAACAGAAGCGACGGCCATGCGTCAAAGAGCGACTCTGTTCGGACCCGACACTGGCTGCCGCTGGCAAACCGCACTCAGCAACAGGTTACCGACGCTGGTCGGGTCATTCGATACCCAGGTTTCGGAACCGATCTTTGTTTGCAGAGACGAGTGACGTGTAGAGTGCCCTGGGTCGAAGAGAAAGCATAGCCCTCCAGGATACTTCTCGCCGAGTACTTCTGAGGGTCGGTTAGCCATTGTAGTTGATACGAAAGTAATGGTAATGAAAAAAAGCTTGCGTTCACAATGGTTCGTTTCCGGGTGGAGGCAATCGTGTCTGGTGCTGCCCTCATGGTCAAGGGAGACAAGAGTTGCTGCTCGGTTACCAGTTGTCTGATGCGCCTTCGCAGGTATTGCCTTCTTGAAATTGCGTCTGACGTGGCGTTGGCTGCATTCATTTCGGGTGCAGGAAAGAGGTACCTGCCAAGCGAGGGCATCACACCGCAGTGTGTGATGGAAACCGGGGCTTCTGGAAGCTATCAACTGCCGCGCACGACTAGTCCTTCTGCCTTATTCCTCATTCCGTAGTAGGCGCGAAGCCTAAGGTAGCGTACCTAGCCAAAAGATCGACCCGACGTTGCTGCATGTTTCAATTGTCAGAACGCTGATCGGTTGTTGACGGCAAGTGGCAGCTTGGGTAGCTAGGTCCTCCCTCAACGCTGTTTGGCGCCGTCTGCCGGAACGGGCTAGTGCATTGAGCGGGACCCCACCTCGGCTACCCGTTTCCCACTGAAAAGTATCGACCCGGCTCCTCTTTCCGACCTTTCACTTCCTTCGCTTGCCGCCTTCCGTCTCCTTCTAGGTAGTGCAGCAATATTCTCACCCATGGCCGACGACGACACATCATCAAGGTCGCACCGAGTGTCGGCATTTTCAGTCAATGCATGCTTCGCGGCACATCTGTCTTTGACGTTCCCATGCCTCGGCTCGCTTGCTTTTCGATGGAACGTAGTTTCCTCGGGACATCTCCAACCTTGTGCACCGCAAACCAGCAGACAAGCTTAGCCAAGGCGAACCTAACGACTGGTGCTTCGTCAGCTGCAAGATCTCCATCATAAGGCAGAATATCTCCATATTTTCCCGCGTCAGTCCAGCCTTTCCCCGTCGAGGCAAGCTTGCGAGCCTTTCCAGTCCTTAGTGGCGTCTGCACCCACCCGCTTTAGACCACTTCGTGTGGTCACATCAACATTCAAGTCTTTGTCTGCGCGGGACGTCGATCAACACGAGGGCGAATATCTCTGCCAAGTATCGAAAGTGGCTTTAAGAGTCCAATCGCATTTCAAGAGCATCAAGATCGATGATTCTGCACCCGATGCCCATGAGCAATATATCGCAGTCTAGGCCCTTGGGCCCTCGCCGCATATCTGGGGACAAACATTATGTTTGCACCAACCACCGCCTCTGAACCATCCCGACGTAGATGTGTCTTTGTCTGCCGACATTCAAGCGAGGTAACATGGCTCACCCCTGGCGAGCTGAGCTGGAGTTCACTTCCTCGAGGGGCCCATTCAAGCCTCTCGAAAACGAGGTAGCTATTTTTGTCTCGAAACTGGCATCGAAATCAATCAAATCTCTTCAGCCATTGCTGAGTGCTTGCAAAGCCGGAGATATTGAGCATCAGAGGCGCAGTCGGTATTGCCGTCGCGGATGAGCTCGAAAAGCAAACTCGACTTGGTGGTTGTCGGCATCACGGGCCGAAGTTGGGATCTTTGTCTTTCAACGTTGGTTGCGATCCTCTTCCAGTTGCCGATGAGCCATTCTCAACAAACGCGGGTGACTCCCAAACACAATCAATCCTGCATGGCGGCAATCATGAAGATCGTCGGGCTCGCCTTCACTTAAACGACCTTTGCGGGACACCGCCGTCACAGGTGCCTGCCTACCGCCATGCATTACATGCACAAGCTCCGAAGCAAGCGGGGGTTGCCGTCCTCACGGACACGAGACGGTTGGCCAGCTTTTTCCGAACCTCTCCCTCTACCCGGAGCACTCCCCGGAGCTGTCTTTAGTTTGCGGATGCAGCTGGAGAACCTCGTCGTGCCGGGTCCTTAGCGCAGCCGAGGCACGCCAAACTACAACGTTATTTGCACTAGCTCACTCTAGTGGTCGATACAAACGTCATACAAGTGATGGAGGAAGTTGCCGATTGAGACCACTAAGAACGAGCCAAGGGAGCGTATTCGGCAGCCCGATCTCCTACTGGAGGAGTGTTTTGGCCATCATGGAAGTTCCGATTGTCACCACATTTAGTATGAACGCGTGGCCATTTCACCGCGGAAGGATCACTATTCATGTTTGTCTTATCAGGTTTATTCGATGACTCTAGGCCTTCTCAATGGCTCGCTTCCATCCAATCTACATGGCGCAGCCCTGGCGTACCTTTCGTCTGGTTGATGCCGAAGTCAATTCAGCACGGAATCGACGGTATGGTCGCGCTGTGCCTGGATTGAAGCGAAGAATTTTACGCTCGGTCTCGCTCTACTGCAAGGGCCATTACCGCATTCGGGACTTTTTCATCCAATGCTGAGTATCTGGCTTTGCTGCGTAGTCGAGCATTGACAACGGAAAAGTCAAACAGCCTCAATGCCGGCGGGGTTGAGTTGCTAACTTTGTAGCTAAATCATGAGCCCCCGCTCCCTAAGGCGTCATCCTCGCCTGTGACTGGCACGACTGGGAGCTTGGCTGCGGGAGTACGATGAGATCACTAATATGCTACCGTGATATCGGCAGCCGTTTAAACTCGCGAAGGGGCCCATGTTGGGGAAGGCTTAGAATTTGTCGTGGACGGCCATGGAAGCATGCATTCTACCAACCATCGTCGACAGAAACTCACCGACAATCTGGAGGGTCCGAAAAGAAGAATACGGCCGGCCCAATACGGCGGCGCAATTGCAATGCCGCGCCGGCGGCTGACCCCGCTCGTACTCTGACTTTTCGCCCGCACCACTCGCCGGGTTGACCGCTGCTGGGACCCCTATGCAAGGCGATGGGGTTGGCACACTTTGCCCGGCCACTGTCAATTGAACAGTTGATTCATGTCACATCCCAAAGGACGGCCGAGTTGCATATGATATGCAGGTTTGTCATTCTGCAATATGAATTCGCTAGCCGCACGTGGCTGGAAAAACGAAAAACTGGACCATTGTGGGCATCGAGGTTGGATCGCTGCGAGCTGAGAGGGGCAAACAGGGCTCCCCAATTCGGACACTCTTGCGAACCTACCCACAATCCGTCCTGCCCCGGCTAGTTGGCTCTGAGGCTCTATCGATGAACCCTCCAACTGCCCTGTCATCCGCACATCTGGGTGCCGACGACACTCGTATGAGATGGGTCCCCTGCAATAAACAGGTGGGTGGCCCATGCGACGCCCGTCTAGCCTCATCACTCTCACCTGAGTGCGGGCTGGCTATCCGGGGTATCCATCACGACCATGGGACGATTGCGGGAGACATTGCCCATTCTCGGACCCAAACACTAAGAGCAGGCCCGGGGAGATGGAGATGGTCTCCTCGGCAAGCATGGCCCACCGTGGTTACGGCAGAGTTCGTTGACATATTAAAGACAGGGCCCAATCTCCATTATCATTGATGGATCACCGCCGGCGCTTCTCTTAATCTCAGCGACTGACAGCTGTGAGGCCACTCGTTTCCGTCGCAGGTCTCTTGGTCTCTAGCCCCCCACGCCAACCCCAGGTCTTTGATATCCGTCACCTTGGTTGAGTGATCGATATCCACCATGAGGGCCCAAACCACCATCAGCAACGTCCTGAGGGCAGTGGTCATCGTCTCTGGTCTCACAACTGCCACCCCCCTCCTCCGTCGATGGACTGTTGGTCAGACTGTCAACACCACTGGCGGATTGGTCAATGGTCATGCCGCCCCCGACGTGGACCAGGTTCGCTCACTACACTGATGTTGAAGAGCTTAGCTAACTGGGGCAGGTTTCTGAGTATCTGGGTATTCCGTACGCTGAGCCGCCCGTCGGTAGCTTGCGCTTTCAGCCTCCCGTCAAGTTCACCGGCACCAAAGCTATTAACGGCTCCGCTTTCGTAAGTTTCAAGGCTTCGGGGAAGCTTGCCTGGCAATGCTCTCAAAATTTTCCACACGCTTCTGAACTTGAGACTAACGAGCATTGACCAGGGCCATCAATGCATGCAACCAGCCGGCAGCAGCACCTCTCTCGACGCCATCAAGAAGCTTGGTGTTCCAGCCTCAGCTGCGGTAGTTCTCACCGCACTCACCGACACCGGCTCTCAGAGTGAAGACTGCTTGACTCTGAATGTGTGGTCGAAGCAACAAGCCGGTGATGCCAAGAAGGCTGTGTTGGTCTGGATTCACGGAGGCGCCTTCACAACAGGTAACCGAGCGACCGTCCGAAGTTTTCGGCAAACCGGCCACTGACTCAGTCGCAGGAAGCTCCCGAACCGCCGCCTACAACGGAAGGTTCATTGCGGACGAGAATGACGTTGTGGTCGTGTCCATGAAGTGAGTTTCTTCCGGAATTCGGATTTAAGGGCAACTCAACTAACACGGGTCTCCCCGACAGCTACCGCCTCAACGTCTTCGGCTTTCCTGGAAATCCCGCTACGGCACCTAACCTTGGACTTCTCGACATCCGCATGGCCCTTCAATGGGTCCGGGACAACGTTGGCAGGTTTGGAGGCGACTCTCAGCGCATTACAATCTTCGGCCAGAGTGCTGGTGGGTCGCTCGTGGACTACTACTCGTATGCCTACGCGTCCGATCCGATTGCCAATGGCTTCATCCCGATGAGCGGAGTCGCCACGGGCTTTGGTGTCTTCACCAACGAAACCGTTAATGCCAAGTGGTTCAACGTTACCAGCAACGTCGGTTGCGGCGGCAACACAACAGACCCCAAGACCGTGTCTGAGTGCATGCTCAGCAAGACTGCTGAAGAGATCATTGGTAAGGGATTGTCTGCCAGCGACGCCGGATTGGGCTCCGCGAACGGTCTCTCCTTTGCACCAACGGTCGACGATGCGCTTGTGTTTGCCGACTACAGCGGCCGCCCATCGGCCGATGGCGGCTACGTGATCGGCAACCTGGAAAATGAGGCCGGTCTGTTTAAGCTCGGGAGCCCGGACACCAACGAAACGTACTGGCTCGGACTCAACAACGTAGCCTTCACCTGCCCGGCTGGCAGACGAGCGGCACGAGCCGTCACTGCTGGCCATCCCACCTGGAGATACCGCTACTTTGGCGATTTCCCCAACCTTGCCATCACCACGACGCCTGCTAGCGGTGCATGGCATGCATCTGAGGTCAGTTGTGCTTTCTTCTCTTTTTTTCTCTGCCCGCTTTGATATGAGACCTTGCAGCTGACAGCGTTTAGCTCCCTGTTCTTTTCAACACCGTGCCCCAGTCAGCGATTAACAGCACCGTACAAGAAGTGGCCGTCGGCAAGTACCTTCGCGGCGCCTGGGCTGCTTTTGCCAAGAACACCAAGACGGGGCTGATCGACTACGACTGCCACGGCATGTGGCCGATGTACAAGCTCGACGACGAGAAAACCATGAACCGCATCTCGTTCGCCAATGGCACCGGCAGCAACCTAGTCGCCGGCGGTTCTTACGACGGCTTGTGCGCGATACTGGGCGTGCCCGTCAACTGAAAAGGCTAGACAAGATCAGCAGAAACTCTGACAAATATACACATAAACCTACCATAATTGAATAATTAGACACACATACACACCATCTTGACGTATTTGTTATCATGCCCTGCCAACTTGGCGCAGCTTTCTGGCGCAGTTTCCAGGCTCTTCGGGCTTGCTGAAGGGCCCGTTCCCGTTGACCTGACTTTCAGCAGAAGCGAGATATGATATCGTCTCCTTTCCCCGGACGTCTTCTCTCTTTTCGCTCTCGGTCGTTTCAGATTCTCGAATGATTCCCAAGATTACGATCAACGGCTAGGAGGCGGGAGTCCACGTGCTTGAGCGAAGCGAGGCCCCTGAAAAGGCAGGTGGACGGGGTGACAATTTCATCAATTAGCGACACTCAGCACTGCAAAAAGTACGTACAGGCGCTGATTCCTCAGGACAACAGGCCGACAAGTCGGCTGTGCACGCTCCAAACTCTAAATGGACCTCTTGTGCGACGTCCGTCGTCGTTTGCGTCTCTCTTCGAATTCAAACAAATACCAACGCTTTTTCCGAGCCGTTCAAACCCAAAAACCACGGAAGATCCAACTGATACAGACCACCAACATGTTGTACACACCCCCTAGCGACTCCCACGACAAGTGAGCCACACCGCCGCCGCTATAGCCGGGTACTGTTTCCACCATTACCACCACCAGCCTGCTTGAGCTGCTGCAGCAGTGCGTCGACTTGCTGGGTCTTCTCCCGCAGGCGGTCTGTCGACGCCGAGGACGCTGCGGCAGAACCGCTGCCGCTGCCGCTAGCCACGACGGCCAATGTCTCCGTGACGGTCGAGTCTCTGCTGGCGAGGTACTTAGCCAGCATAACGGCGTCCTCTCTGGGTACCGGCTGTCTGCGAACGGATTAGCACCCGCATCATCCCGCGCGAAAGGTCGTCTCCGAGGATTGCCCCTCCCCCTCCCTCTCCTCCTTCTCTCGACGTGGCACGCTGTGATCCATACCTTTCACCGGAAACTGCCATCGATGGACCTTCTGATTCCAGAGCCATTGGGTCGCTGCTACAGCCCGGCGATGTCCGAGATGGCGTTCTTGTCTGAGTCCTTGCCGGATTGAGCACCGTTCTCAACTTCCGTGTAACGATATCTGGGTTACCGTCAGTCTCAATTGAGGTATTTGGCTGAATCATTCGGGGTACTTACGATATGGGCGGGATTCGCTTCGACGGGTCTCAAGCTCATCAATTGGGTCAAAGTTGGCATCAATTGAGATCCTCTTCAACCTGGAACAGCTTCTGGGGTGTCACCACACCTTTCTTTATATGCCACCGAATCTTCTTCGCAGGTGAAGCCATCGCAGCCTACGCGGTTGCGCGTACTTTGCAACGCGACGACTCTGCCCTGCGAGCGGGTCACGCAAGGAGGGACATCTGCGCGACATTGCGCGCAATCGTACCGTTTTGATGGCATGACGGACAGCTCAGCTGCTCCCCAGACAGATCGGGATCTTCATCATGCTTTCCTCCGAACAATCCGGGGCGTCCAATCGTTCTTATCTGCAAATCGTCATTGGATTGCGAAGTGAGGCGGCCTCACTGACACGTTGCTCCCCCTCTTTTCGTCCATGGTCGTCAAAAGAGTCTCACGCAAATGCGTAGACTGCGCGCGCGCATTTACGGGCTGACCGCGAGGCAACCTGGAAAGGTCAGCGCAGGCGACACGATATATAAGAAGGCTAGCAGTTCGTTGCCTGATTATCGTGTTCTTCCATTCGGCACCAACGCAGATCCAGAATTCGCAAGTTCGTGGCATTATTCTCTTCCTTGGGCACATCCTCAGGCACAGCCTCAAAGTCCTTCTTCGTTGTAGCATCGCGATTCAATATCAAGGAGAGCATCAACATGTCCCAACAGTAGCTCTTGCGTGCACTCGAGAAGAATGCCCGCAGCAGTAGCCAGACATTTTCAAGCGTCTTATCCATTCAACTTATTTCGTCGCTCTCAACTCAAGAAACGCACCAAACGCTGCCCGCCGAAGATCGACTTCTCTCCTCTGCTATCCCGTTGGTTCAAGGCTCACCGTTTCAGTCGACCGAGCACTTGCCTAACGGACATGCCTGAGAATCATCAAGAACCCACTCCCAATCCAAAGAAGTCCTCCGACACTCTACTTGCAGTGAGACAAGCCTCAGTGAGTCTTCGCGTCATCCAAAACTTACGATCTCAAGCCTGACTCTCGCAGGGAACATCAACCAACGGATCCAGTCGCTCCCGTATTCAACATCGCGGGGGAGGAAGCGAGCAACACTCTTCGACTCCGCCGCCACCACGACACTCGGCCTCTGCTTCAGAGTCAACCTCAAGCCGAGCCAAGACAAGTCCTCCGGCTAACAAGTCCATTGACAGCTACCTTGAGTGGCGCAAGGCCATATTCATAAATATCTTTATGGCGAAACTCGAAGACTTCCTTGACGACGCTATCTGTACCCTTGAGGAAGCAAAGGATTACGAGGGGCAGGGTCATAACGACACCAAGTCTACGCGGGCTAGAGGGGTCAAGAGGTCTGCGAGCGCTGGCAAGCTGAATCCAGTAGCGAAGCGACAGCATCGTGAAAGTGGTGAAGAACCCAATGAGTCTGATGACGAGGACAACGATGAGCACAATCGCGTGCAGAAGAAACGCACAAAGACAGGCGACGGACGAAAGTTTGCTTGCCCCTTCTACAAGTTCGATTCTGAAAGATGGAAGAACGAGCGCACTTGCTGCGGTCCTGGTTGGTATGAAATACATCGTCTCAAGTAAGTACAAGCTACACCTACCTACGGTGATTAAGTCTTGGCCGACATGTTGACTAACACGACCCAGGGAGCATCTCTATCGGACCCATCTCCTCGTTACTTGTACCCGGTGCTTTGGACACTTCAAGTCTGAGAAACTTCTTCAAACGCACCAGAGAACAAAGGACGAATGCGTCTGGCAGGATGAGAGCTCCTGCGTCATAGACGTAGGAGCGGGAATAGATTCCAAGAAGGAGAAGCTGCTGAAGGCTAGGAGCAAGGCAGAAGACGGCGTCGGCAAATGGTATGAGATATACCACATCTTGTTCCCGTGCAAGATCGCCGCCAAGGACCTCCCGACCCCTTGTAAGTGCTCCGTGATACCATATAGTGTAGTGTTTACCGGGTGTTGACCTGGGATTTAGATTACGACGCTCCAAATGGCAAGAATGGGCTTTCAAACGATGACGACCTGAAGCGCAAGTATGAGTGCTTCCTCCGACGTGAGATCCCGAAGATGATTCATCAGCAACTGGTGGCCGACGTCGAGAAGGAGTTCCAGGATCTCGGAGCGACGGTCCAAGGTCGCTTGGGTTCGTGGATCAAGATCGCGGCTGAAAAATGCGCGACTGTGTTCCAGTCTATTCCGACACCCACCGAGGCGGCGGCGCTGCCGAATCCCGATACGCGGCCAAGCTCACGTGCGGCCTCACCGGCGGCAGCTGACGTTTGTGGTCCTTCTATCTTGGACACCTTTGACCCGTACGCGTATGAGCTTGGGCTTCCGCTTCCAGAAAACTTCATCCTCAACTTCGACTCAGAGATTGACAGGTTTCAACCTCTGGAATGTATGCCAAACTACGACTCGGCTTACGGCACGGGGAGCTACGGGCTCGACGGCTCCTCGGAGACCTGGCATGCTGAGCCAGAGGCTCACTGATGAGCACCTCACATACGTTACTTCCGATCCACACCTTCATTTACGTCACCTTGGTATCAGAAGGCGCTGATCTTCAAGTCACACAGTCATTACAACTCTGTATCACCTCTATCCACACTCTTTTGACAAACTATTCCTCTCCTTTGTTCGTATACTTCTTGTGTGTTTGAGTAAAACTACCAGTCGGGCGGAGGGAGAATCTTGGTAACTAGGAAGGAGGCCTTGAGGGTACGAGTAATCAGTTGGTCAAGGGGTTTCATGTATGAATTATGTCGCCTACGCTCGCTTTCCCAATATCGAATGCACTTCCTCTTGCGTTTGCTATTGTCGCAGATGTTGACCACGATCCATCCCGCGTGACATGAGCAAGAGATGTTTCAAGGGTTCAACTCCGTCAAAGCCCATCCGCACTGCGCAGCCTACTGTCCGCCGATTTCGAGGCATCTTGTTGGAAGTCGTTGTTTCGCACGTGTTCAGACACGTGGAGCGACTGACAAAGATCGATTGGTCAATCACAAGCAATGATGGGTATGAGGGTGAGCAACGTTGAATGGGCTTACAGCATCACCCCCTATCGCTCATAGTCAGCATTCACTTAGGACTGCGGGGACTATTCAAGGCAATCCACTTACACATGTAGCCTTGATCATGACAGGTAGTGGTCGTACAGTCAATGCGGATGCGCTGGGTCGTTTGCTCGCGGCAGAAGCACTGGACCTCTTGCTACTTAGACGAGAGAGTTTAGAGAGTTTAGACGAGAGAGCTTGCTGCGAACGTGCCTCAGCCTTCAAGGTACTATGCTTGAGCACGACGTAACCGGCCAATTTCGAGGCGAAAATTCTCCAAAAAATGAAGAAAATTTAGGCCGGGAAGAAGTATTTCATTGACGACAATCTACCTAGCCTGGGGAAATATGGGCTTGAATGTTAGGCTGCCCCTGTTGCTTCAGGTGGTCTACTTATGATCCGTCAAGAAAATTGCTCCTCCGAGCGTCTGACATGTCTCCCAACGTAGTACATGAAGCTATTCAGAGAAGCCAAACCAGACCGTTTCATTGGACCTGTCTTGGCAGTTGCCAGTTGTCAGATGAACCGTCGGAATAGCCTTCTGATTACAGTTGGTGCTACTGGGACTTCCCGACGCCTTGTTGGTCTTGAAAACTTGAACGGCAAGCCGCGAGTCTAATTCTGCCGAGATACGGGCTGTTGAACCTTCTAAGCCGACTACCGAACTCTGAAGAAGCTTTGTGGATTATCTGATTCTGTCCTACGTCGTCTACAGCGATACACAACGAACTCTAAAGAAGCACAGCCAACTTACATTCGAGTATAAACTATGAAAGTCAGTCTGCGGAAGCTTGATGTGCACGTGCTGTATCGGCAGGGCTATCTGACCGGATCGGCGGTGCGGATCATGCAGAGACGTGGTGAGCAGCAACTTTCCATATTGATCTACCCGATTTGACGCATCTCTATTCCTCCGAGTGACCGCAGGTACATCTTTTGCAGCTGCTGCCTTCTCCCGTAGCATGAAACACGACTACTCTTAGCTTGCATCCCGAAAGAGCCTTTCTGCCAGACTAATAAGCTCATGATATCTATCAATTTCGGGCGAATGGGGGTTCCGCTTTTGCGAGTCTACGAGGGATTCTAAGCAACGCAAATCTTCCTCTAGTGTTATTAAGTTAGTTATCGGGCAATTATTTTGCAGGAACCACTGGCAGCCTCAACTTACCTACAAACTCACTCGACTCAAGCAACTCTCTGCCCATCAGCGCCGCAACGCCATCGTCAATACGCCGAGGACACAGACCGAGAAACATAAACACCATCGGCACACGAAAGCGTCGATTGGTAAAACGCCCCGCAAGGGGTATCGCCCGACGTACGTCTTCCGCCTCCATCCCCGTCGACGAGGACCCGAGCTCCATCCGCAGAATGAGCACGGCGCCGCACCACGTCGCCGGCAGGTCCCGGTACCACAGCGCCGGAAACAAGCTCCTCAGCCCAGCCTCGCTCAACGCCTGCAAACTCACGCGATCGCACAGCTCGGAATCGAGCGGGAGCCTGCCCTGCGAGAGGTACTCCCCAAAATAGGCGTTGCCGCTCCGCCACCGCCACAATCTCTGCAGCCCGTCCTTGTCGGGGGGTATGCGCGAGTAGCCCCTGAACGCGTCGATGGCATCGAGGTCGCGGATGAAGGCGCCTTCAGGGAACTGAGTCGTGTCGACGATGAGGAGGTACAGGTCCTGCGGGCTTTCGCCGGTGTAATGTCTGTGCACGGCGTAGTGGAGCGCGAAGAGGAGCGAGCTGGTCCAGGAGACGAGGTTGGAGTCGAAGTCGTAGAGGCTGAGGAGGTGGTCTTGGAGCTTGTGGGCGATGAGCGCTGGGGAGAAGGGTGGGGTGGAGAAGAGGTCGTGGTGGCGGGTCGGGGAATTGTTGAGCCAGGCGCGGGAGGAGACTGATGTTGTGGAGGTTTCACCGGCGCTGAGGGGGCCTGTGAGGCGGAATAGGAAGCGTGGGATGTTGGTTGTGCATTGTTTTAGAATGGCTTGCTGTGGAAAGTCTTGGAGATGGATTGCACCGGGTCGGAAGACGATTGGGCCTGTTTCTGAGCCTTCTAGAGACATTATTGACTGTAGATCACATTCAGAATGAAATTGGGAGGAGGGGAATGTCCAAAGTTCAGTGACATCGGTGAAATGCCGGTAGAGAACCGATGGATAGAGTTTCCGTCGCTGAACAATGCTTAAGCTTTGACAGTAGTTCGGATGAAGTTCTGATCAGCTATTTAGGCGAGAATGGTGTTACAACCAACAGGTCTGTAATCTCAAAGAAAGGCTCAAGAGACTATGAAATTTCCGAGTCTTTGCTGTCAGCAAAATTCATGGTAGAATGCGGTGAGAGATCTATTTGAACACTGCAGCTTTCATAGGTTTTCCTACGAAAGTTAGTCACTCGGAAAAAGAGTTCGATGTAAGGAGGCAAGGCCGCCATTTCACATGGCCCAGTTGCACACTAGAGCTATGTTGGAACTTTTTGCTACATTCATCAGACGTCAGTCGCTGAGACCAGACTACGGTGTGAACCATCTGTAATCACTCATAACTTCCAGCAGTCTCTGCAATAGCAGTCTCCAAAATGCTATGCCAAGTGCAATTTCAACCATCCCAGCGCGCCTTGGGCAATGTGACAAGGCAAGAGGTCGCATCACAGAAATCTGGGGGCAGTACCAGGCCAATTCAACTGCAACGTACCGCGATGAAGTTGTCAAGTAGCTCCGAAGATAGAACACAGTCTTCTTAATTGGAAGTACAAGTTTGAAGACCGGTTCCGTTGAGTGTGTTGACAGTTGTAATCAATATTTTCTACGTCACAATATGCAAATAACCAACAATCTTGGCTGCATGAACCGCGTACGTTTTCCCGCTGGGAGTGCCTAAGAACGAACCCTAGTCTGACTGACAAATTGCCCTGCTAGTTTTCATCAAAAAGTGACAAGAGTATCAACCCCTCCAGTGATCATCCCTACGAGATTGTTTGCGCACATCTGCAACTCGAAGTTGAAGTCGACAAGCGCTGGTAAGCACATCGCTGCGAGTGATTTCCACGGTGAACATCATTAATCGATGCTCAACATCGGATTTATCTGGTGTTCTAATGTTGCTCACCAGAAATGCCCACGGCCTCTGTAGTTTCAGTCTCCAGTTTTGCCATGCCAATTGCAAATTCACATATATCAGCCTGTCCTAGGCAATGTTAGAAGATGGTCGTGCATACCGCCCCATCGCAACTCTTAAGTCCCCTCTTAAGACCCCAAACCCCCATATCGACGGCGCGGATCGTTGCACCTCCGAGCAGTCCAAGCTTCTAGAAAAAACGTCAGCGGGCCCCCTGTCTCATGGGAGGCGATAAACGTGTCAAATATGAATACATTCTTCGCATGACAAAACGCGGAGCTCAACAAGCTTATACTGGCGATCAAACCTTGCTTGTAGGCGGGATCAGCGGTGCCCAGGGGGGACTCATACGCGTCGTTTTATGAGAATCCCCGCGGATCAATTTCTTGTGTGGACGTCCAAGAAACTTATCGGGATGCGGGCGTGATCTGCCAACGTTGCTTCCGTCCGGGGCTCAGACTCGCTCTCCCTCACACCGTGACGACGATGGTGGTCTTGGTGGTGGTGGTATTGATGGAGTTGTTGCAAGAGTGTGATGGGGTGTCAGGGCAGCTTCAGAATTGCGGCTTTGCGGTTACCCGATCGGGGCAACACGAGAATTACGTCGCGCGCACCAATACCACCACCAACAAGTCCAAAACACTTCAGATGACGAAATGGCAGAATCCCAGCCACACCAACTCGGAAAAAGCGGCGCAGGATGGGTGAAGCGAACTGCCCTTTCTGTAAAGCACCGCGTTATCGCTATCAGTTTTTAGTGTGTATCCAATTCCACGTGAAAAGGGTTCCCGCATTTTCCTTCTCGGTGAGGTAAACTAGGCCGACTGGTGCTCCGCAAAACCAATCCCCCGGTTGCGAGACATGTTAAATTTCCCGAACTTGAGATATGACAGGTTCGCCACGGAGGAAACCAGGCACCGCCAACCCGTGGTACAACAAATTACCGTTCGAAATTGGACAGGAAATGTTTATATAAATCAGGTGGACAGCAATTCGTCCGAACAAAACATCGCCTTGGCGCACATGTCAGGCACGGGTCGCACAAGCTCCTGCGACAGAAATCACCCGAGAACGAAATAGGGGGGAAGAGGGAGAGACTCTGTTTGGCTTTCTGGTCGTCACCCCAACTGACTCGGAGGGTTTCTTATGTCATGGCCAACTCCTGTCGCAGATGTGCAGGTCTCAACCCTGAACCACTGGGACAGGGGTGGATGTCACTTATTTGACAGTTTGCGTCACACCAGTTGGCGACAGATTATCATCCCTCGCGGGGTGGCTTCGTTTCAACCTGTGCTCAGCCTCATGTGGGTGACCTCAAATGGGAGAACAAGGATACGAGATAAGCAGGTCGCAGTCGCAAAGACAAGTGTGTGCAGGTGATCGATGATCCCGTGAATCCCAAAAGGTATTCCAGTAACGAATGGACTGGAAAATTAACTATGTACTGATTGGAAGGATATTTTGATGCCCAATCGCAAAAGTAAATACACTCAAGTTTCGCTGCCAAACAACAACGCGTGATAATATACAGGGCTTTTGTTTCGCCAAATGTGATGATGTGAACACACGCACACACCTCCACACCCTTCCCGTTACCGAGAATCCCAAGCTCCGTCCCATCCATGAACTCCGTTCTTCTCATATCCGGATGAGCTTCGTGTGTATTCCCCCCAAACGGGTTACGTCGTCGATCGCGACCGTGGTCGTCTCGGCGAACCGTCCGGGCGAGATATGTGTGTGAGCAACAAAAGGGAGGGAAGTGAGGTAAGGCTAGGATAAGCCGAGTCGATGGTTCCTTGTGGAGTGGTGCCTGTACCAAGGTACAGCCTAGAAACCTGACTTTTTCGTGATCCCTTTTGTCGGTCGGAGGAAGGGGGTGCGTAGGTAGCGTAGCGGGTGAAGGTGGTGGATGTAGTAGGTAATGACGGTAGAGGTTTCTTTCGTTGCACACGTTTCTATCTCTTAATTCGAAGCATTTCATCCTCTCTGCTGCAAAGAGTTCTGTCGAGTTCATGTCCGACGTATTGGATGGGCGAAGTGGTTGGGTCCTCCTCGGTTTCCGCCTATTCTTCTCAATTCTGTTGACCAATTTCCTAATCATCGCTAAGGAAACCTGCGAGGCGGGGGTGGCGAAAGCCCTTGTACGGGCGCTGCTTCGATGTCGACATCGAGGTGGGAGACGGCAGATCGCGGGCCGTTGTTGTCGTCGTCAAAGTCCAAACTCTTGCCCGAGTGCGAGCCCTTGCTCAGGTCGGGTCCTTCGCTGCCTGATAACGGCCACATGTCGGGTAACGGCGCGGTCGGTGGTCTCGGCTTGTAGTCGGTGTCTGACGGCGACGAGGAGCCGCGGCTGGCGGGGTCTTTCCAGTTCCATGACTCGGCAGGCTCTTCGGGGATCTCGCGGAGGGCGATGCGTTCGTTGCCCTGCTTGTCGAGGCCGGCGGACGGGGGCCCGTTGCCGTGGATGGTGGCGGAGATGCGCTTGCCGCTGCTCATCTTGCTGCCGAAGGTCGTGCTGCGGCCGTCGGCGGTGGACTCGAGCTTCTTGGAGGTGAGGGAGGTGTGGATCTCACGAAGGATGGGGCGGAGGATCGGGATGCACTGGACGATGATGGTGCCGGTGATTTCGGATGAGTACCTTTGTGGGGATTAGTATACTGGTTTGTGCAGGCTGTGTTGAGCACAATTCATCTCGCCAAAAATCACTTACCAGACTTGGGACATGCCATTTCGGTCTGTAGGGGTTCTGTTAGTCAAGAGATCGGGTAGCCGGCACGATGGATGGGGCGACTCACAGATGTACCACGCGTCACGGTCGTTACCCTCGTCCTTCCAGCTCACTCTGATGGCCGCAACAATGGCGACGCTGTAAAAGCGTTAGTTTCCATGGCAAGTGCAGATGGACCTAAGTTGATACTCACATCATTCCCAAGCTCATCGTAATGCAAAGGCCGACCTTTTCGGCGCGCCTCATTTCCAGCGACCGGGTAATCAGCCACGGGAAACTGGCGAAGATAAAGTCCATAATAATGTTGTAAACTGAGACTCGTTAGCCATGTCCTTTATCGCAGTTTCCGTCTCACTCACCATTTCCGCCCTCCTTGAAGTCGTTGCGGAAGTGCTTCTCAAGGCAAATGTCGAGGCGCCAGTCAACGTCGTAGCTCTTGCTGCCGCAGACCTTGGCCCACTGGAAGACGACCTTGACGACCATGTAAATGTTCATGGTGATGATGCAGAACCACAGGATACCCTTCTGCCAACGGTTGCTCATGCGCAGCAACGTGACTCCAAAAGCCGTCTTAGACCATGCCTGACCGATCAAAGTGCCACATGATGAGACGTTGATCAAGATGTGCATGCGGTCGTCCCATTGCTGCGACGAATCCTTGAGAACGTAGCCGGTTGCAAATTCGTATATAATCAAAGTGTTGTTTGCCAGTAGTAGCGTCTATTCGGGGGTTAGTTTAATGAAAATGAAATGTCATGTCGAATCGTTCTCATCCGCTGCACCGTATTCTTTTTCTTCGGTGGGCGGAAAAGACGGCTCGATGGACCAAACTTACCCAGGTTACCACAAGAATGTAATCATCGTACCACAACCCGTGTCGCCTCGTAACCTTGCACCAAAGTCTCAATGCCAAAAACACAGTCGCGCCAGCGAAAAGCGACCACAGTCCAGCATTCAATTCGACAAACGGGTTGACAAAGGGGTGAATGTCGACGGTGGAGGAGTCATCGTCGGAGCTCATTGTGACATTCTGGGCCGGGCGCCGGCCGGTAAACGTATGGGTTGTGCTGCTGTCTGTCGTCGGGGATGTCGTCGAGTAATATCGGGCGGCTAACTTTTTTTTTTTTTTTACTTTTGCTTGTTTGGCGGCGGCGACGAAAGACGGAAACGGGTGGAACACACGCAGCGCAACGCACACGGCACGGACGGGGTCGAGAGAGGTTCAAATGAGAGTAGGAGGTGGCCGGCAGTAAAGAGAATGAGAGCAGCGAAACAAAAGACGAACCAAAAGAATGCAAAAGCGACCAGGCGCAGGGTGGGAAACAAGGAAGGCCAGAAGGCAAAAAAGGTAAATGTAAATGAGTGACTAGATTGAACAGCGCTTGCAGGAAGAGAGATGAGGAGAAAGTGGGAGTGCGGCACAGCGGCAATATGCGAAGAAGGGAAGGGAAACCCAGTTGAGTCTAGTCTGGCTCGCTCGATATACAAGCACCGGGCCCAACACGCAGGACATGGAATGCTGGTACAGAAAGCAGGCAAGCAAGGCAAGGCAGCAGAGCAGAGCAGAGCAGAGCAGAGAGAGCAAGCAAGCAAAAACCCGACTGCTTCCAACGTGAGATTCTAGACTTGGCGGACCCCGCGAAGGCGACGACTCCTGGAAATATATGAATGTGCCGGGGTTGCAGACATTAGTGTGCAGCCTTCTCCACCAACACACGCCAGCACCGTCGGGTGATTGGCCATATGAGTGAGGTGTTTCCCGGCAAAGTATATGTCGATATTAAATGCGTGCGAACGGTACCTTGCGCAGTCGGCTGGTGCCAAGCACGCTTATGCAGTCAACGGCGATGGGCTGAACCACACACCCATCTCTTGTCCTTCTCGGAGGGCAGGGCACCAGACGGGCAGGTGTGTGTGTCGCACTGCGGCGGCGGAAGTACTGAATCCACTGATGATAGCCCTGTCTGCTGCGTACGCAGTCACCCAGCTGCTGGATGGCTGACGATGGCGGTGTTGTTGGTGGACACATAGCCACCCACCTCCCCCCGGAAGAGCGAGAGTTGCTGTTCACTTGTGCTACACGAGGTGTTCCTCTGGCCGAGAAGCTGCGGTGGTGCTACTCCGTGAAACCGGGCTGTTACAAGGAGCGAAAGATTGTCCTATCTATTGTGTCTTCATTCATGACTAGCAACTCTCAGCCGGTCGAGTCAAGAGGATGCTATCTGGGGAAGCAAACGGGCTGTGCAGTCTCCAGCGTCGAGAGAGCGTTTCTGCCCACATCCACAACACCAAGGCCGGCCGGTGATCACTGAACCCGTGCAGCGGCCAGCGTTCTGAGTTTCTGCTCACAGTTAGGGTTGAACCACACTAACGGGACTCCGTATGTATGGTACATACCTACCTAGTATACGAATTTGTTTGACTTGTGGTTTCAAGCGGATGGCCTTGGCGTCACCATTTCTGGTGTCTTGGTCCGCCCGCCCTCTTCGCGATGGCATCGATGCCCCCGGCCGAAAGAACTGGATCTGTCGACTCAAGTTGGGCGATATAGATGAGACATGCAACCCATGTCCCGGGGGGAGCACTGGTGTCCACCACCACCTCCGTATCCCGGCAGATCGTTTCTCTCGTGCCCACCGACCCGTACGGCTTCTGGACGGCCTTAACGGGATTGGGCTCTGGCGCCCTCGTCAGGTCTGGGCTGGGTGCGTGACCAACCTTGCAGCGTGCGGTGCGGCTTGCATCCGCGAGACGCACCTCGATCCCCAACCAGCAGGCCCCCTTCTGCTCCATTTCCGAGCCAGTGGCATCGTCTGGTTGGTGTTCCCAACTGCACTTACGTGCATCGATAATCGTATACATGGCCGCAGACGGGAGAGGGGCGAAGAGAGAGAGAGCGAGATTCGCTCAAGATGGACATGGGGGTTTTCATCATCCATCTCGCGATTTCGGGTGCATGGGGGGAGAGGCCAGAGAGGGGCTGCTCATTCGAATTGTGGCGTCTGGCTCTATCTTGGGGTTGCACTTTGACCTCTTTTTTTTCACTATTTTTTTTTCTGCTTACATTGGATACTAGTATCTCCTCTCTCTCACTCGTTCTCGCGTGAATAACCCCGGCATAGGGGGGCTGACTTATTCATCCTATACGTGGTACAATTTTCCCACATCCCGGGTCTAACCTCAATCCGTGCGGCCACGTGGAAAGAGTAGTGCGAAAATGCAGCCTCAAAGGACCGTGGACGGAACCCGCGAACGCGTTCTTGTTCCAGAAAACCCGCCTCGGCTTTGGTTCATCAGCCTACAGTCCTGCGGATAAGCTCGGTGGTAGTAGTAAGGATGCTGCTGGCGGGTACCAGCGTCGCAATGTTGCAACCGTCACGGTCGCGCAAGGCGCAACAACCATACCATAGTGGCATACCATCCCATCCCCATCCCATCCGTCGCATGCGTTATCCGACGCCGTCTCGTTCGTCAATCGTCGCTTCTTTCTCGCGCAGCCGCTGCTGGCCTTACGACGCCACGCCGTCCGGCGGCTGTCAGTTGTCCGGCGTGCGTGCCGTCCCATGATCCCACGCTTTCTTTTTTGACACTTTTGATGTGACCATTAAGCAAGATAAATACGGACAGGGAACCAGGGGACGGGAGTTCCGACAAAACCGCGCCAATGAGTCGATGGGACCAATCAGAAACCGCGCCCTCGCCGAACTGTTCTTTTCTCGTTCGATCAGCAAGATTATATCCAAAGTCGGCCGACCGTTGGTTGACGTGTGTCGCAGCGACTCTAAAGAGGGCCAAGACCGAGAGTTGTTCCTTGGGGGCCTTTGTCCTTGGATGTCTCTTGTTGGCTTCCCGCTCATGTGCGTGCGTGCGTGCGTGTGGTGCGTGGACGTGGTAGCGGCCCATGATTCGGCCGAATGTTCCAACAATGATTCAATGAGCGCCGTCTGTCACAAGCAAGGCGGGGGGTCGGACAATTATTCCAGGTGACATGTGTCTGCGGTGGACCGCAGTCTCAGGATGCTGGGGCTGGAGGAAACGTTCGGGAGTTTTTCGTACGTTTTCTTCCTTCTGGCAGCTGCTTATTCCTTTTTCGCCTTGGTTTCTACGCCCGCCTTCCTTGGCGATTGGTTGTGTTTTTCACGATGATTGGAGTTGGAGGGGAGAGGATCCGGCAATGGTCCTGGCACCCCGATCGGGGCCCCGAACGAGTCCGCACGCCGTAACAATTTTCATATAACTTCAATATCGCCGCCTGCCGTCGAAAGCGGGCCTCAACGCAGATGCGGGAGGGCTCGGCCATTCCCAGGTGATCTTGGCGGCTCCGCGTATGAGTCGTATTAGGGGTCACGTCGTCGCAAGAAAAACAGGAGGCTCCTCCCTAAGAGAAAGCGAGCAGAGGTTGCAACATTGATGGGTCGAACTCTCAACAGCAAACGTCGCGTGGAAGCCACGGAAGCAACCCGACCTCTTCACGATCCATATCCATACCCAGAAAAGCAAAACACATACGATCGAACTTTTTCGGTCGTCAGGAGATCGAGGACTGCGAGGAGGAGCCCTCCCAGGTTCCAACAGGGCCCGGCACCGGTGCACCACCACGTGTGGGAGAAACCCGCCCAGCCCTTAAGCGGAATAGCCGGTGGGGATCCCTTTTGGGCTGCGAATGGAAAAACCGGTCCACGATGTTTCGGTTTTGCGAGATTCCAGGAGTATGGATTCCGGTACGGAGATTGATGGGCACTGCGGGACGTCCCAGCCAGCCCAACCAGAACCAGCCCAGTAACACTGGCCGCCGCTCTGCCGCTCTGACGCCACGCGAAAGAGGAGGACTGTCTACGACGCAAATTACACCTATAATTGACCATATAATACAGCCCTTTTTCACTGGATTTTTTGCGCCCTCTCGTTGCCTCCGGCACCGAGCTACCGAGGTCGTACGGGCGGACTGCGACCGTTCAATCACCCCCAAACGATAGGCGAGAATGGCTCGTCACCTTGTGACGCAACGCCCCAACCGCGTCGTTCCTTTTTGCTGCCGTTTTTTGCGCTCCGCGCCGGAGATGCCTGCCCGAAAGACGCGAGGTCTCCGGACATGGACACACAAGGCGTAACTGCGCTCGCGTGTGTGTGTGCCTGTCGTCGGCCGAGCCTCCTGGGTGCGTGAGGTGTTTTTAGTGCAAGCTGACAAGTGATGAAAAATGTGACCCGGCCTGCCTTGGCTCCAACGGGTTCTAGCAGCGCACCCGAACTTGGGGAATGAGCTTATGCCTTCTAGTGTGCGTTCTTGGCCCCCTTTCCCGGGGAAGCTAACGGGGTTCTTCTCCGATCAAGGAAAGGAGCGGCGGCGCCATCCAGCCACTGTGGCTTCATTGAAGACAGCGGTCTGTTTTTTTCGAGCTGACTGGGGGGGACTTTTGCCAAGGCCCGTTTCTCGTCTCCGAGGAACGTTGAAGGTTTGTCACATGGAGGTGGCGCTGTTTGGCGGGTTTCTTCTAGAACTATTTTGCTACCTTAACTCCACCTCTCATGCCCCCTGAGCCATAATTATTGTTCTGGCCACGAAGGCCTTCTCTCTTCACGTCGCACAGAACTAAAGCTGAAGAGCGTGGCGCCCGGCAGTTAAAACCAACATTCATATCGGGACGCAAGATTGAGAGGAGGGTGTGCGTGTGTGCGTGTGCGCTGTCAAAAGAAGCAAAGATGCATTGCCACTTCATGTGCCGATGCAGAATCCCGATTAATCAGGATTGCTAAGGCCTCCAGTCAGCTTGCGGTTTGCATTGACGTCGTCACGCGGGTCGATATGGGCATCAAAGTAGGTTCAATGATGTGCAAATTGGATGGGGCCCGCGCAAGTCATCCAGCTTCTTGGGGGAGCCAACCTGGCGGCAAACACTCTTCCGCCAATGGGGACGCCGAAGGCCGAGCGGAGTAATAGCCCAGCCGCGTTATCATGGAAAATCAGTGGCCGGGGGGTGGTATATGTGATGGGTGGGTGGTGTGACGGAACGGGGGAGCCCG